TGATCAAAGACTATAACTCTGGCAGTAATAATCGGATATCGCTGAAAATCAATATACTTGTTCGTCTCATGACCTTAAACAGTGTGTATAAATTTAACGTCAATCGGATATTAACTTTGGCCTCTAGAGCGTCCATGAGATTTTTTGAAGTGTTCAAGGGCCATAACTATGGCAGTAATTATCGGAAATCGCTGAAAATCATAACTTTCAACATTGTGTATATATTTAAAGTCCTGTAGAGCGTGCACAAGATTTTTTGAAGTGATCAAGGACAATAACTCTGGCAGTCAGTGACCGCCTAGACATTCGCCAATTCGCCAATGCGATAATTCTTTTTATTGGCGAATAAAGTGATGATACTGGCGAAAATTTTGGCAAATTAATTTTTGCGAGTATTATTTCGTAAATCGACTAATATTAAACTTGGAATCGTCTCGTTCAACTCTTTTTTCGATCGATCGGTGGAGTGTCTATTTTAAGTACAATAATTACTCTAGTCTCAATCTTACAAGTCGCAAATCAGTCAATGTTACGCATTACAACGACCAAAAGATCGGGTCTCGAGACTATAAAACTATCAAACACAGTTACGTCCCTTTTGTGTGGCGCTGCGTTGTTTACATTCGCTTCACTACAAGTACAAGTTTTCTTTACTCGATCATGCAGCAAATAAATAAAACTACGCACAATAATCATAACAACTAATACTAGTAAACCCAAAATAAGAAGGATAGATTCCTTTTTCTTTCCTAGGACTACTATTAGTCCAGAAGCAATTTCTGAGAGTGAGAGTCTCATCTCTGAAGCAAGTCCTTCGTTGGCTTCATGTGGGCAAAAATTAGACGTTAACCGAGACCGAGCTAACGTTAACCTAACAACAACAATCGACTTGAACTTTCCTTCTACGAGTTCTAATAATTTTGGTGTCGAAAATGACAGTAAAATTAAAGTTACTGGTTAAAGCAATTTCATTGGTTAAAAATTGAATGTGGTTATTTCTTTTGTAAATTATGTATTTACTTCTGGAAAAGGCACTAATAAACCAAAATGTGATGACTTTAAGAAACATGAGAGATCAACCGATCATAAATTTAGTATTGCCGCCATGACAGCTCAGGACAATCGGGACATGCCAAAGGCCATTTCCTGTGTCAATACCAAAATTAAAACAGGAATCATTTCTATAATGAAGAATGTGTACTGGCTAATAAAGGAAGAAATGCCCAAAGACAAACTAGAAAGCCTAAATAAACTTTTAATCGATCAGGGCCCTTATTCACGAAAACTTAAACTAAGATACAATCGAAATTTTAAGAAATACTGCAATTCGATTGGCTGACCAATATGCAAATTGGATATATGCAAATTGATTTTACTGGTCAGCCAATCGAATTGCAGTATTTCTTAAAATTTCGATTGTATCTTAGTTTAAGTTTTCGTGAATAAGGGTCCTGGGCCTTGAAAATTTTAATTTTTTAGGTAGTAATAATAAAGATAACGACGAACACTGTGGATTGGAGTTGAGTTATACCAGTCATAACTCTGTGGATGACATGATTGGTGTTATTGCAGATATAATTTGAATCTGATAATTTAGACAAAATTAAAGGATCAAAATTTTATTCTCTGATTTTTGATGAATCCACAGATACAAGTAATATACAAACCTTAATCATATACATCAGATTTGTAACAAATGGTGTTGTAAGAACTAAATTCCTTGCCATAAAAGAACTTTATGAGGGTTGCACAGCTGCTGATATTTACAAGTTACTAAAACATACACTTGAAGAAGGGACATAAATCATAATAATTTATGATGTGGCCTCCACTATGGTGGGTTCTAAATAAAACAAGATTTAAATTGGATAACCCATTAACACTTTCATTTCATTGTGCTGCCCACAAACTCGCACTTGCCAGTGGTCAAGCGGCCTCAAGCATCCAAGAAATGGATAAATATCAACAAACTTTAAATGACCTTGCAAAATTTTTCAAGGACTCCCCAAGGACAACCAGAAATCTAAAATCATCACAGACTCATCTTGGGGAAGCCCACTTGAAAATGAAACGAGCGTTTTCAATAAGGTGGCTTCCATGCCACAGTCAACACAGTACTTAAAACATATGATAGCATTCTTTCTTGTCTTGTTAATGAAGATGGTCGACAGAAGGTTAAAGCTCAAGGATTCGTGAAAAAAATGTCTAAGTTTGATTTTTTAGCATTGACTCATTATTTGGCTGACGTATTAGATCCCCTCAATCGACTGTGTCTGTCTTTGCAAAAGAGCAATCTTTCTTATGCCGACACAATAAATCAAATAGAATTAACCATATGTAACTTATCAGAACTTCAGTTACATGATGGACCAATATTTGTTGAATTTTCGAAATCTTTGCCTTTTGGATGGGGTAGTGCAAAGCCTGCCCCAAACTTTGACTTTAAGGGACATTTAATTAACCTAAGTGCTGACCTAGTCAAAAAGTTTGAGAAGGTGAAGGAGAAATTTATTACCAATTTAATTGAAAATCTTAGTGCTAATGATAATGTCGTGAAAGTGCTTTCTGTGTTTGATAGGAGGGAATTGCACCAAGAAAATAAAACTTATCAACTTCCAGAAAATTATGGAAATGAGTCCATGGACATTTTATACACTCATTTCAGTGAAAATAATTCTAATTATAAAACTGATAACCACAATAAGTTGATTACCACAGTTCAATTTATGTTTGATAATAAAAGCACTTTGTTATCCGAGTGGAATGGATTTAAACATTTACTAATAACTAAAAAATATTCCCATTTATCTCATGAGTCTTTTATAAGAGAAGTTATTTTGAAGTATGAAAATATGTATCCATCAGTTTGTAAACTGGCTGAACTTAGTCTTGTTATTCCACCTACAACAGTGGATGCAGAGAGGGGGTTTTCACACCAGAACTATATTAAAAACAGTCGACGTTCAAATTTAAATGTAACCTCCCTAAATGACCTCATGCTTATAAAAATGGAAGGACCGCAAAGCATAAATTTTGAATTTGTCAGAGCATTTGATCAGTGGTGTCTTAAAAAGGATCGTCGTGTCTTTTATGTTAAGAGGATGAACTAAATAATGTGGCAGTGAAGTAATCTATCCTATAAACAATTTTTAGTTATCTGCATTTATTCTCTCTAGAATGTGATACTCTTGTGTACTAAATAAGTACAGATTAAACATTTATTTTCATTTTTAATTAATAAACATATGAATAAAAATGATATAAAATATTTGGCTAAAACTTTCTGAATTGGCTAATAAAATTTTGATTTGGCTAAAAAATTGGCTAAAGGTTTTAAGAGTCTAGGGCGGTCACTGGGCAGTAATTATCGGAAATCGCTGAAAATCAATAGGCTTCTTCGTCTCATGACCTTAAACACTGTGTATAAATTGACAGTCAATCGGATATTAATTGGGAACACCGGACCGACGGAGGGACGGGCGGCGACGAAAATATACAACCATATTTCAATGTGGGCGCATAAAAATGAACTAAGATAATAATGGATAAACAGGTCAGACGTACCGGTATTGTCTATGTGTTTTTTCATAATTTTCTGTACAACACCGTATATATGTTTGCAAAGAGCTTATAAACCACTCTTAAACACTAACAGATAATAATAGTTCATCATGTATATATATATATATACATTAAGGATAAGTCTGTCACTCAGTAAACTAACTGCTTTGAGGATTCTCTAGATCTGACAGTAGGTAATAGTAAGTTTAATCAGATACAATATTATATCCATTGTATTATCAATTTTACATACTACAGTCTGAATTTTTAAAAGTACCATATCCATATCTAATCACATTTAATCTTAAAAATATAAGTCCGTAAAATGTTAATTCAATATGAAACAAGACAACGCACCATCAATATCCTGCACCTTTGCATAAAGATAGGTTGCCAGGCAACAAACATATGTTCACAGCAGCTAAGTTGTCTGGGCGGTCAACACATTTATTTACAACACATGAAAATCTGATTACGAGTAATAACCCATTAAGTACTTATCAGAAATCATTAGAATTTGTTTTGATTGCTTGTCTCATAACCTTAAAAACGATTTATATTAACTTTAGCCTCCAGAGTGTCCACAAGATTTTTCAAAGTGATCAAGGGCCATATCTCTGGCAGTAATTATTGGAAATTGTTGAAAATGAATAGGATTCTTCGTCTCATGACCTTAAACACTCTGTGTGTATAAATTTAAAGTTAATCGGATATTAACTGTAGCCTCTAGCTAGAGCTTCTACAAGATTTTTCAAAGAGGTCAAGGGCCTTAACTCTGGCAGTAATTATCCGAAATAGTTGAAAATCAATAGGCTTCTTTGTCTCACAACCTTAAACACTGTGTATAAATTGACAGTCAATTGGATATTAACTTTGCATTCCAGAGCATCCACAAGGTATTTCAAAGTGAGTAATCATTGAAAATCAATAGGCGTCTTCGTCTCATGAGCTTAAGCACCGTGTGTAAATTTAAAGTCAACCGGATATTAACTTTAGCCTCTAGAGCGTCCACAAGATTTTTCAAAGTAATCATAGGCCATAACTCTCGTAGTAATTATCGGCAATCGCTGAAAATCAATAGGATTTTTTTGTCTCATGACCTTAGACACTATGTATAAATTTAAAGTCAATCAGATAATTATCCTTAGCCTCTAGAGCATCCAAAAGCAATTGCGGATGCCGGACTGACGGATGGACAGGGGCGACGACAATATGCAATCACATTTCAATATGGGCGTATAAAAACAAAATCAATGTTGCTATGTGGATAAAATAGGCTGAAGTTTTATAATTGTGATCCAGCTTTAAAAGGTGTTCCTTTAGATACTTCATGGATTTATCATCAATACTTATTGAAAAGAGGTCATTTCCAGACAAATGAAAATCATTAAGCTTGTATTTCAAATATTAGTAAAGAATTTAAAAGTATGGTAACTTACATAATTTGAAGAATTCAACATGTTGAAATATATCTGGTTGGATGCTTTGTTTATACAGTCATGCAGTGTAATATCTTGAATGTAAATTTTATCTATGTTGACTTACAAAACACACCTTCAGGTATATCCATGTCAAATAATTCGTCAAGACAATGTTCGTCATAGGTTTTTACATAATTTAAGTCTGTCTCTTTCAATTTTGTCTCACGAACTGCACACTTTTTAATTTTATAGAAACTAACCCTCTCATTTAAAGCAGATACGATATGACTTTAAACTATACACCAGTATGAAAAATGTAAATGTGGACTAACAATATATTAACAGCTGTTTCCACTCAAACAAATGCTACAACAATAATTTTCCACCAATAATCTGCTTTTTAACTCCAATAATACTATATAAAGAATATATTTCAAATCTTCACAATTTACCATCATATATGTATGTTTTTACTTTGTTTTTTACCAGATCATGGCTTTCCATCTACATGTAACTTTGATGCATTAAGCATAAAAAAGAAACAGGTATGTCTAACTCAGTTTATAAAATATCAAATTAGGATTTCTACCTCTTCTCTACTCATTCACACAGTCTAAGGCAAGGATATCTTGATCACTAACTAGGTCAGTAACTTGCAACCTGGTAGTATTCCATTAAACATGTCTCCGACTGACCTTATTTTAAATAGGGTACTATTTAAAATTTATTCACAAAAATATCCAACAAAGTACCATTTCAATTGCAAACAAGGCATCAGTTACATGTATGTATCATGTTAATATACCATTGAATGGAGACACACATTGACCAAATAAAAGTTCTTAATGTCAGTTTGACCGTCATATTGTGTTGAAAATAAACATTAGATATTTACACAGAAATCTTAAAAGTTAAAGAGACATAAAATTACAATATTATTAGGTTATCATGTTAAAACAAACTTGAATACAATACCGTGTACAGAGTTGATTTAGAGACCTTAAAAATATATTTTAGGCATATAAAAATTGTAGATAAGTTTATGTTTGGGATCATGAAATGTTTAGTGGACAATTAAAAACCAGCGGCTGCCAGGCAGGATACACCCACATTTTGCAAGAGATGGATAGAGAACAAGCTAAAAACAAACAGAATTTTTTGTACAATCAGGGGCAATAATCCAGAAAGTTATGGTCTGAAATGCGCAAAAATCAAAAGGGACTGAGATCTTTGGGATATAAAGATATATTTCAAGTTTCATCAGAATCGGATAAAAATTGTGACCTCTAGAGGGTCCACAACCTTCGTATTGCATACTTTTACACAATTTGCGTACAAAGAGCGGCCATTTTGTTGGGCAGTTTCATTTCGATTTTCCCCGAAATTCGAATTCAACCTTCAATATGGTGGAATGGTGAAACATTTAAACGTTTTTTAAAATCGGAAAAAAAGTTGTGACCTCTAGAGACTCTGCAAGCTAAAAATGCGATTTTTCGAACAATCAGGGGCCATAATCAAGGAAGTTACGTTCGGACATACGCGATTATGGTGATATATTCACATTTTATTTAAATCAGATAGAAATTGTGACCTCTACAACAAGCTAAAAACATGGTTTTTCATACAATCAGGGGCCATAATTCAGTAAGTTCCCAATATGCCTGAATATCGAAATGAACCAAGATCTTTGGGTTATAAACATGCATTTCAAGTTTCATCAAAATCACAACTTTGATATACCAGATGTTTACACTAATTCTGTACGAGGGGCGGCCATTTTGTCCGGCAATTTTGGTCCGATTTTCATAAAATTCGAACTCAACCATAATTACGGTGTAAATGGTGACACAACATTGATATACCATATTTTTACGCTATCTGAGTACGAGGAGCGGCCATTTTGGTCCGATTCTTACGAAATTCGAACTCAACCATCCTTAGGGTGTAACGGTGATATAGCTAACGGTCCACAAGCTAAAAACGCGATTTTTCGTAGAATCAAGGGCCATAATTCAGGAAGTTAAGGTCCGATATGTGCGAATATCGAAAGGAACCAAGATCTTTGGGTTGTAAACTTACATTTCAAGTTTCATCAAAATCAGCAGAAAATTGGGACCTCTAGAGGGTCTACAACCTTGATGTACCATATTTTTATGCTATTTGAGAACGAGGGGCAGCTATTTTGTCTGTCAATTTTGGTCCGATTTTCACGAAATTCGAACTCAACCATCCTTAGGGTGTAACAGTGATATACTAAAACGTTTTTTTAAATCGGATAAAAATTATGACCTCTATAGGGTCCACAAACTAAAAACTTGATTTTTCGTACAATCAGGGGCCATAATTCAGGAAGTTACGGTCTGATATGCGCGAATATCGAAAGGAACCAAGATCTTTGGGTTATAAACTTACATTTCAAGTTTCAACAAAATCGGATAAAAATTGTGAACTCTATAGGGTCAACAAGCTAAAAACGCGATTTTTCATACAATCAGGGGCCATAGGGCATAATCCATGAAATTATGATCCGATACATGCCAATATCAATAGGAACTGAGATCTTAGGGAGATAAACCTATATATTTTAAGTTTCGTTGAAATCGGATAAAAATTGTGACCTGTAGAGTGTCCACAAACAATTGTGAACGGACAGACGGACGTCCGGACGAACAATATACGTCCACATGAAAATGTGGGCGTATAAAAAGTAGTGTACTACTACTAATGATCACAGTTTTCAAAAGATTTACTGCAAGTACATTTTGGATTATTGGATATATGCATGTATACACGTCTCTTTCGTTATTAGAACCTAGGAGAATTTTTTATCGATTATATTGTTAAGTTTATAAGGCCTCACACCCAGTTTCATTAAACTAAGGTGGATGAAAAATGTAGACTCAAAGGCATTAAGACTAATAAGCTGGATTTTTAAAAAAATATATTTGTAGCAAATTGTGGTGATGGTGAAGTTTTTTTAATTGATGACCAGTGGTTGCCAGGCAAGAGACGCCCACATTCTGCAAGAGATGTATAGAGTACAAGCTAAGAAAAAAAAAACAATTTTTCGTACAATCAGGGGCCATAATCCTGGAAATTATGGTCTGAAGTGAAATGTGCGAATATCGAAATGGACTGAGATATTTGGGATATAAAGATATATTCTAAGTTCATCAAAATCTGATAAAAATTGTGACCTATAGAGGGTCCACAACCTTCGTATTACATACTTTTATACAATTTTCGCACAAAGAGCGGCCATTTTGTCGGGCAGTTTCGTTTTGATTTTCTAACCCGTTACTCAACCGTCATTAGGGTGTAACAGTGATACATTTAAACGCTTTTAAAAATCGGATAAAAATTGTGACATCTAGAAGGTCCACAATCAGGGGCCATAATCCAGAAAGTTACGGTCCGATATGCGCAAGTATTGAAAGGAACCGAGATCTTTGGATTATAATCATACGCTATCTGAGTACGAGGAGCGGCCATTTTGGTCCGATTCTTACGAAATTCGAACTCAACCATCCTTAGGGTGTAACGGTGATATAGCTAACGGTCCACAAGTTAAAAAGCGATTTTTCGTAGAATCGTAGAATTGGATTATAATCATACATTTCAAGTTTTAATCAAAATCGGATAAAAATTGTGACTTATAGAGTGTCCACAACCTTGGTATTACATACTTTTACATTTTGTCCGGCTGTTTGGGTCAGATTTTTACCGAAATTTGAACTCAACCTTCATTGATGTGTAATGGTGATATATTTAAACGTTTTTTAAAATTGAATACAAATTGTGACTTCTAGCGGGTCCACGAGCTAAATGGGGGGGTTGGATGGCTGAATGGTTAGCGTGCGCGCGCTGTATCATAAAGTCTGTCATTGAGTCGACTGGCATGGTTTCGAATCCCCGGTTGTACGTGGCAAGAGTAGCGTTGCCTGTCCAACTTCGTGGGTTTTCTCCGGGGCCTCCGGTTTCCTGCCACTGCTAAATAAAATTAAACCATATGTTAGTCCCGAAATGACCTAGTTTGTGTCGAGTGGACATTAAACCCCATTTCTCTCTCTCTCTCTCTCTCTCTCTCTCCCACGAGCTAAAAATGTGATTTTTCGAACAATCAGGGGCCATAATCCCAGAAGTTACGTTCAGATATGCGCCATTATCGAAAGGAACCAAGATCTTTGTGATATAAACATGAATTTAAATTTTATCAAAATCGGATAAAAATTGTGGCCTCTAGAGGGTCCACAATCTTGATATACCATATATTTACATTATTTTCCTACGAGGGCCGGCCATTTTGTCCGGCAGTGTGTGGTCTGATTTTCACGAAATTCGAAGTCAACAGTGATATATTCAAACGATCTTTTAAATCGGATGACCTCTAGGGGACCACAAGCTAAGGACCATAATTTAGGAAGTTACGATCCGATATGCGTAAATATCAAAAGGAACCAAGATTATTGGGTTATAAACATGTATTTCAAGTGTCATCAAAATCAGATGACAATTGGGACCTCTAGAGTGTCCACAAGCTAAAAACGTGATTTTTTTTGTACAATCATGAGCCATAATCCACGAAGTATCGATCTGAAAGGAATCAAGATCTTTTGGAGATAAACCTATATTTCAAGTTTTGTCAAAATCGGATAAGAACTGTGACCTGTAGAGTGTCCACAAACAAATTGTGGATGGACGGACAGGGGCGACGACAATATACGTCCAATGAAAATGTGGGCGTATAATATAAAAATGTGTTGTTATTTGTTAAAGGGGCATTATGAAAGATTAGATAAAGAGCTGACAGTTCTCAATATAATAGTTAAGAAATAGATAATGAAAACAGAATATGCAGAAAATTTCAATTAAATTGCTTCACGCTGAACCGAGGTATAGCTGGTGTAGAAGGTCGTTACTACTGTTTGTACAATAATAAACTAAGACAAAGTTATCCATTTTTACGTTAAATCATACATTATGAAAGTTATTCAAACCCACTAAATATCACAGGCTAACGATGGCACCAAGAGTTGATTATGGTCTTGATAAGTTAATTAATATTTAATTAATAATTTAGGTAACACTTCAGGCACTCTAGTCCTTTGGATGATATGAAAAACCGAGGTCCTGTGTATACACTGGAATGCAGGTAAAAGATCCCTTGGCAGTTGGAATTCGATATAAGAGTAGGCGATAGTGCCGCTGCCCGGGCAAAATTTCCCTCATAGCACACTGTATGGCGTATGCCCGTCTTCATTAGCCCAGTATAGGAACAGAACAGTAGGACGCTAAACCCCATTTCATTTCATTTCATTTCTAAAGAAGGACCTGCAAATGCAATAGGCAGATTTAGCTCTTGCATAATGCATGTGTCAAACAATCAAACACAAGTTATCTCCCATTACACAATCTCCATTACTATTCCTATCTAGTTGACTTAACCATTAAACGTGACAAATGATATATATATAAGCTTAATACTTGACTGGCATTTAGCGAGTGAGCACAATGAAAACTCAACAACCAATTTGATGGCTTCTTCGAAGCACTATAACAAAGCTTGTCACGTTACATTTAAAGAACCCCATCCATATTGAGATTAAGACTACAAACAACAATCTACATTGATATGTTAAATATTGTGTATGGGCATCCATCAATGATGGAAGGAAATAATAAGATAGAATGTAAACAAAAATGAAATAATTTTTTTGGGTGACATCTGAAAAACATGGTGTTACTCACGTTACATGAAATGGACACCAAAATTTTGATGTTTTGTTAGCACATAAATATTATCTTCAAGTCTAATCTCTTATTTATAATAAGTATTTATTGCAATAGGTATGGATGTTATTAAGTTATTTCTTTGCAATAAAGTATAAATATATGAAAAGGATCTGATTTTTTTAATGAAGCGTGTAGAAAATGTTGTTACTCACGTTACGTTACTCACATTACATTCATATTGTAAAATCAAATCTAAAGAATACTTATAAATAAAACTTTATAAGAGATGACATGTTTCAGGATAAGTTCAAATAAATCCAACCACAGATAATACTAATTTTTAGAAGTACTTAAGTTACTTATTCAACGAATTGTTGGTAGGTTTACTTAAACAGTGCAAAGTTATCTAAAATTTTCGAAGAAAAAGCTTACAAAAATTTTAATTTCAATTTATTAAAGTATATGTTCAAGTTCATTTAGAATAATAATAATACAGTGACTTTTCATACAATCAGGGGCCATAATTCGGGAAGTTACGATCCGATATAGTGTGTAACAGTGATATATTCAAACTGTTTTTTATATAGGATAAAAATTCTTAACTGTAGAGGAACTCGATTTTTCAAACAATCAAGGGCTATAATTCAGGAAGTTACAAACCGATATGTGCGAATATCAAAAGGAACCAAGATCTTTGAGTTACAAATATGCATTTCAAATTTCATCAAAATCAGATGAAAATTGTGACCTCTGGAGTGTCCACAAGCTAAAAACGTGATTTTTCGTACAATCAGGGGCCATAGTTCGGGAAGTTACAATCCGATATGCGCGAATATCAAAAGGAACTAAGAAATTTGGGTTATAAACATGCAGTTCAAGTTTCATCAAATCAGATGAAAATTGTTACCTTAAGAGTGTCCAGAAGCTAAAAACATGATTCTTCGTACAAAAAAAGGCCATAATACATGAAGTTATGGTCCGATACATGTACATGCCAATATCGAAAGGAACCGAGATCTTTGGGAGATGACCTATATTTCAAGCTTCATTAAAATTGGATAAAAATTGTGACCTGTAGAGTGTCCAGGGACCATGGTCTAATACGTCCACATGAAAATGGGGGCGTATAAAAATAATTCTAGCTGAAATATATAGAGGTAATGTGTGTTAATCACATCACATATTGCGTTACTCACGTTACATAAATGATTCTGTTACTCACGTTACAAATTTGTAGGTGCCATTATATGGAGAATAAATGACATTTTATATTGAATCATTTTAATTTAAGTACATGGTCAATAGTAGATATTCTATAGAAAATATGGCTGACATAACCATAAAAAAAATAAAACCATCATTGTTTTTCCATTTTTTGTGTTACTCACATTACGAGTGCCATGTACTTCGTATTATATATTATAAAACTGACTCATTTGAATATCAACATTTGTTGTTATTATTTTGAATAAGGAGAAGATTTATATTTTCTGATTTCAGAAAAAAAATTATTTAAATTAGTAATTAGGAACTTTTAAATCAAAAACATTATATAGCTACAAATCAGTTAATGATATTACTATATATGTCAAGGTAAATGATAATGGTGCTATATAAAAAGTTCACTAGAATTTTTACAATTTCTTTACAATTCCAAACCCTAAAAAATATATAGACCAGACAAACTTAAGAAAATGGTTCTAATTGCTGTTTCATTTTTTACTAACCATGTCCACATTTGCATGGAATTGCCCAGTCAATGTTAAGCTCCACGAACGAATGTACGAACAAATATGTTTATAACACTCTGGGCATCAGATGACCAAGATATTAAGTGGATTAGAACATCTGCACCATTTAATAATTTAAAGTTAAAATGAATAAGCAAGACTTTTATAATAGTAATGGTACTTGACAATCGAGACAACCATGTCAAAACTTCAAACACTCATTATAACATCGATCAGAATAAAGTTATTCATTTTTCATAAGATCTATGTTTTAATAGTATTATATACCAAGATTGTCTTGCTCTTTATCTAAATCTTATATTAATGTACCATGAAACTGGGCTACTTTTTTAACTTTTTTTTTTCATTTAATATTAATGATCGCTAAGCTACATTATGATATATTTTTATTTACTATTTTTAGCTTTAATTTAATTCATGTAGATATCACCATTACAAACTATTTTTGACAAATTTCTACATGTGTGCCTGGGGAAGACCCTCAAAACTACAAATACCAGGTACTGGTATGTCAATCTCTTTTAAGGCCACATTAAAAAAAATCTTTCCTACTTTGTTTTATTCAACTCAAGGGAAATAACTCCACAATTAAGCTTATCAGTACTCAATAAATCTCATTGAAATTCAATCCCATCCAAGTTCCAATTATGACCGTCACATGTAGGCTAGGGTACCAAAAATTAAAGTTCATATAATAATAATAATAATAAACATTTAAAAAATAAAAAACTTAGTTCAGCTCTGAACATAAGTTCTCATTACACACGAGACCTACGTTCAGAGCTGAACTAGAAAATACATGATCTGACAATAACTAGGCTTACTATATGTTAGTGTAGGCCTGTCTTTATCCTACAGTACAAAATTTTACTCACCCCCTCTAGATCTACCCACAAACAATATTATTATAAGTCCATCTCATAGTCATTAGCATTAGTCATTTAAAGGAGCTAAATCGCTAACATTTGGGACCTAGAAATTCACAAAAGTGGGTCGCAACGCATATAATACTGTAATATGAATGTATATAAACTGATTTACATTTAATGGTTTCCGTTTTTACTCGAATTTCAAATCAGTTATGTTTGGCGAAATAAGTCAGCAATCTCAATCAAGTGCAAATTTCTAGCGTCTAGTTATTCTAGTCTACATAACTCCATTTGATTTGGTGCAATGTGTCTAGCCTCGTCCCTCGAGTCTCTCAATACAACTGGGGCTGAAGCGCATTATGGTACACGATTCGTGTACCAATGTTACAAAAATTATTTTATCTTAAATATCGGATATCAGAGGCTCATCTTTTCCCGGTAAGTTTACATCATCAATGTTGATTTAAATTGACCAATAATTCGTGTTTTCGATGTCGAAGATTTTGGAGGATTTTGAGTTACGGACTTAGGTCCTTTAATCATTTATTTTTTTATAAAAAAAAGTCTTTGAATCATATTTTTTCGATAGGTTCTGGAGTGAAAACTATGGAATCCTAAATCGCCAAATATTTGAGCTTAGTACCATTGTTCGTTTAATAGTTATTTTTAGGCGTTTAAAAGGTCCATAATTATTGGCTTGAATGATAATGAAGATGTTGTCTGGACTGGTACTATTATGACAGCATCCTCTCGGCCTTCACCTTCAGGCTGTGTTTGGCTGCCTACATGTTCGCTATAATTTTTTACTTAATTTTTAGTCCTTACAATCCACTGAAGTTACTTACGTTGATCTGTGTCATATTTGGATACTGTTCCGGCTAATCGAATATTGATGAGGTAAATGTGTCATATACTATTCGACTCTTTGTAGGCTACAACAGTTAAATACCCCTGAACATGTAAATATTTTTCTTCGAGTCCTTCACGTTTTTCTTAGGGTAGGCTATTATACGGGGTTGAAGGTCGTTTAGGCTATGGCCAATCAAAATGCTCAAAAACGGAAACGGTTTGTTGACATTTGGGGTTACAGGTCTCGCGAAACCGTAATCTTCTGAGCTTTTTAGTTATGATTTTCATGCGTAGAAATTGGCGAACAACTTGACAATCTGACAGTTAATACACCGTTTAGACTAGATCCAAGGGTGATACGATACAGGAAATAAATATCAATAAAATCACAGAGAAAAGGAAGTTACAACAGTCTGCAGAACAGCACAGCTCTAGCCTACTCGATTGACCCTTACTCAAGTCTCAAGTTACTGCCACTGGCCTTACATTTACATCCTACATGGCCAGAACCGTCACTGCAGCCAGTAGAAGTAACAATAACAGAAAGCAAGTTCTTATTCATCAGCTTCTTTAAAACAATTATGAAAATAATTAAGAGCCATAACGGCCAAAAACAGGTTTGGTCAAAACGGCCATACTTTAGACATAACGGCCAAACAGTTTGGTCATAAATAACGGCCAATAAATTTGGCCATAACTAATAGCCAAAATATTTAGTTGTAACTGCCAAACATTTTTAAACGACCACATTTTTATGTGGACGTATATTGTCATTGCCCCTGTCCGTTCGTCCGTCCACAATTGTTTGTGAACACTCTACACTGTAGTACAGGACTACAGGTCACAATTTTTATCCGATTTTATTAATGAAACTTGAAATATAGGTTTATCACCCTAAGATCTCGGTTTCCTTTCGATATTGGCATGTATCAGACTGTAACTTCATGGATTATGGCCCTAGATTGTACGAAAAATCGTGTGTTTAGCTTGTGGACTCCATAGAGGTCACAATTTTTATCCGATTTTAAAAAACGTTTGAATAGCCTACATGGTTGTCCTCCTTCCGTATCAAATGTTTTTATTAGAAGATTTCTTTACTTTATTGTATTGTTTGAAGACATATCATAGTTGCTATTGTGTATCAGATTCAATTCAATTAATTTTTAACTTCTTTTTAAAACGACATTTTAATCCACTTGACCGTAATGGTTCAATGTACCCCGCATACAAAATAGTCGGGGCAGGTTTAACCACATAATGGGGCACATTGAACAGTGGTAAAAATTCTATGTTAAACATAGATCTGGATTTGGATCACAAACCTAGTCACTTTTTTCGTAGTACTTGATCTAATGAATCTGCAAACAATCAGTGTTTAGTTAAGAACAAATATCCACAGATTTGACATCCGTGCAACGATCGAAACAAGCAGGAGTCCGGATTCCCTAGGCTCCTACAAATCGCCGTAAATTGCACTTAAGTTGGCAGTTTGGTGGGATAGTGGGATCCCAATCAACTTTTGCAGTGAATCAAACCAAAATTTGTCCAATATTCTGTCTAAATTCGGACAGCCTGATATATGCTGATGAGCGACTCTAGTCAGTGAGACCCATTGCGCCCCTGTATGTCACAGCCTAGTTTCGAACACTGATCCTATGAAGTTTAATTCCTTTTATATGACAGGCCTACAGAGTTGGATCAACTGATATTCTAAATCTATTGTTTTTATTTTCAAGATATTACAAATTATCAAATGATATATGGACAATGCACTGGGGTACATTGAACCAGTGGTTCAACATACCCCATTGACAATGGTTCAATTCAATCTGCCACATGACAGTTTTATGATCAAAATTTTTTTTAAAAATTCAAAATGGATCGTAGATTAGACATATATGAACTGATTGTAAGTACAAGAATTTCCTAGGCTAAACAAATTATTAAAGGATATAGTCTATAATGCACTGGGGTACATTGAACCATGGTTCAAAGTACCCCATTGACAGTGGTTCAATCTGCCCCATCACAGTTACATGATCAAAATTTAAAAAAAATTCAGTATGCCCTCTATGGATCAAGCCCCCGTTTATCTGGATTGTAGATTAGACATACATGAACTGATTTTCAGTACAAGAATTTCCTAGACTAAACAGTTAACATGTATGGAAAATGGCCCCTGATTGTTCGAAAAATCGCATTTTTAGCTTGCGGATTCTCTAGAGGTCACAATTTTTTTCCAATTTTAAAAACGGTTTAAATACATCACCATTCCACCATAATGAAGGTTGAATTCGTATTTCTGGAAAATCGAAATAAAACTGCCCGACAAAATGGACGCTCTTTGTATGCAAATTGTGTAGAAGTGTGTAATACGAAGGTTGTGGACCCTCTAGAGGTCACAATTTTTATCCCATTTTGATGAAACTTAAAACATATCTTTATATCCCAAATATCTCGGTCCCTTTTGATATTTGCACATTTCAGGCCATAACTTTCTGGATTATTGCCCCTGATTGTGCAAAAAATCATCTTTGTTTTTAGCTTGTTCTCTATCCATCTCTTGCAAAATGTGGGCGTATCCTGCCTGGCAGCCACTGGTTAATTTTATGAAAAATAATATATTTGAATAAAACATCGATGTGGTGCTACAGTTATACACACCATGTGTCCTAGAGGCATAACAACCCAAGCCAACCTGGAAAATTACATGCCATAAAGTGTAATTGTAATTCGGGGATCACGTGGCTAAGTGGGTAAGACGCTAGCTCGCTAGCCTGGAGGTCGGATGTTCGATCCCTGCATTGGCCGAGAAAGTTCATCCAGATTTTCCAGCGTGGTTCTCCCTTGTCAGTGATGCAGGACGGAGGGGCTGACAAGGAAAGCTGTCTAGTCGTTCGGATGGGATGAAAAACCGAGGTCCCGTGTACACATTGGCGTGCACGTAAAAGATCCCTTGGCAGCTGGAATTCGATTTAAGAGTAGGCCGTAGTGCCGCTGTCCGGGCAAAATTTCCCTCATAGCACACTGTATGGCGTATGCCCGTCTTCATTAGCCCAGGTTAGGAGCAGAAAAGTAGGACGTTAAACTCCATTTCATTTCATTTCATTTCATTTTGTAATTGTAATTCAAGGGAAAGAGGTGAGTACTAATTAATCAACTGATTGGATAATTCCTAGTTAGGTACTTCTGATCTTATTAGGTGATATCTAAGATAAACATTAATCATTTATTTTTTTATCAACTAAAGATAAAAGAAATAGCCATCTCTAATCCATTCAGAAAAAATCCAGAATAAGAGAAAAAACATGTATTGCGTTGGAAAATTCCTAAGTTATTTATTGTGATGAAAGTTATAATTACAATATCATGTTACAATATTAAGAAATTTTTAATATTACAAAATATACTTTAGGTTAAACTATATTTACAAATATACTTTAGATTAAAGATGGGTTCCCGCGTACAAACTGGGTGATTTAATGGTATATATGGACAAAAAACATATTCAAACTAATTAATTTGTCATAATTATGCTTCAAATCCTTCTCAAACATTGTAATTGCGAAGGAATGCCCTGCTATTAAAATTCGATCAAACCAGGTCATGTTTACGTCACGTCTTGGGAGTCAGAGGAGAAATCATTGCATACATAAGACGATGTTGTCTTTAATCGCTTATTATTTATTACAAATATCGAATCCTAATTAAATTCTCGGATTATCCACTACCCGCGTCTTTTTCCGTCATTTTTATCTCAGAAAGTATTGTACATCTAACTCTTCATAACTTGTACTTGTACATCAAGCGCTCAATGTTTGCTTGTGACCTTTGACATCGTGCGTGCAGAAGGTCATAATCGTCGGGCTGTTGATTAGGGGAACCCTTACATTTTTGTCCTGTATACGCTCCATGAGTGTTTTTCGGGGAATCCAGTATTTTTCTAGTAAGATTGGATATCTCTACTTTCCATATATACCAAAATTGCCATACTTTTATTGGAAATAACCACCCGATAAATACTTTTCTGAGAACCCATCTTTAAGCTATATTTATAAATTTATTTTATAGGTAAATGAAGATGCAATACCTGATGATTTTTTACCTGCCGATATAAAAGTTAAAGGAGAAAGACATGTTTTCAACCACAAGACAGTTGGCTTTGCTTTCTAAATCCGGGCAATGGTTTATTGGTAGGATTTTAAAATCGTGAAAAAGCCATTTTATCAACACTGTAAATTATGTATTTAGATGTATTATGTATGTGAAATATTATTGAAATAAATTTTAAGATTTGTATGTTTTATACAATGTATTATTATGTGAAATATTATAGTTTGTATTATGTTAAATGTCTATGTAAATTTATGTATTAAATTGATACGTACATGTAATAAATGGTATGGTTTTTTTATTACGACCAATTTGTATGGCTGTTATGACCAATTTGTATGGCCGTTACGACCAAATTTTTTGGCCGTTATGACCAAATTTTTGGGCCATTACGACCAATTATTTTTGCTGTTATGGTTTAGGGCCGTTATGTCTATAACCCACACAAACTAGCCTAGGTCATTTCGGCTAGGCCTAATGGCAATGGTTCAATTTTTATACGCCCACATTTTCATGTGTACCTATATATATTGTCGTCTCCCCTGTCCGTCAGTCCACAATTTGTTTGTGGACACTCTACAGGTCACAACTTTTATTCGAGTTATGACCCTTGTTTCACTTTGTTGGACCTTGTGAACGCTCCAATGCCAAAAGTTATCTGATCTGTATGAAATTTATACTCATCATTTAGATTAGTGAAACCACAAAGCCTATTAAATTTCAGTAATTTACAATAATTACTTCTAGAGTTATGTCCCTTGTTTCACTTTGTTCAACCTTGTTAATGCTCGGTTGATGAAAGTTATCATCTGATATGTATTAAATTTATATGCATCATTTAGATTTGTGAAACGGAGGTCTATTGAATTTCAGCAATTTCTGTAAATTATTTCTAGAGTTGTGGCCTTTGTTTTACTTTGTGAACCTTGTGAACGTTCGAATGACAAAAGTTATCTATATCCGATCTGTATGAAATTTATATGTATTTAATTAAATTAGTAAAATGAAAAAGCCTGTCAAATTTCAAAATTTTCTGTAAATTACTTCCAGAGTTAAGACTCTTGTTTCAGTTTGTAACCTTGTGAACCCTCAATGGACAAAAATTATAATCTGATCTGTATGAAATTGTCTTGTAAATGCCCCCAATTACCTTCAAAAGAATAAATATGCGTCAACCCTTGTCGACCACTCGGACGATTGAGCTGCCGTGGGCCTATGTTTTGTTGCCTGGCAACCTATCTTTGTTTAGTATGTTCTCTATCCATCTCTTGCAAAATGTGGGCATATCATGCGTGGCAGCCGCTGGTATTTCAATAATTTGCTTGCGAGTAGGGTCTTTAGCAGTGGGAGGAAACCAGAGGACCTGGAGAAAACCGACAAGGTTGGACAGGCGACCCTACTCTGGGAATTGAAACCAAGCCTGCGGTTGACTCAATGACAGGCCTTATGATACAATGTGCCCGCGCTAACCATTTGACCATCCAAAACCCCATGAAGCTGGGTGGTTAAAATGCTTAGATAAAATGATTTGTTTTTGGAATGAAGCGTCAGGTTTTAGGGGTTGCCTGATATCTTTATGTCTGTAGCAGTGGCACAACAGTCGACAGATCAGAGGAACTGCTACAAATAGTTCCACCACACCATAACTTACATCTATTACTCCAGCCTCTAAGGACTTTTGAGCAGGTTTTGTAATCATTTGATTACAAAAAAGTTAGGTCTACGTAACTCCCTTAATTTCCAATTAACCAGGTCTATATGATTAACTAGTCCACATTGAAATGAAAATGAAACCGTACTGCATATTTCTATAATTTTAAATCAGCTACCTTGAGATTTTACATGGTTATGTCATTGTCACTTGTCTACCATACATAGAAAACGCATTACCACAAAGAGAAACTGTTCAGTTACTATTTTGATGGTTCATACTTCATTGTTTGTGATAAAGGCCTTTATTTCAATACAAATTATGATGATATGTGTTAAAAATTATTCCTTTGAGGATGATTAACAAGAGTTCAAAGATTTAATGTGTTTTACTAACTCCTTTCTGAAGATAAAACTTGAAGACGTGTGTTTCACAGTTTGAGGTAGTGAATTCCAGAGTACAGAGGCGGTATATTGGAATGTTCTTGTCATTGCCTTTTTCTTACTTTTTGGAATTGCTAATTTAAGTTGACTTTCTGATCTCAATGTCATGGTAGTTTCAGTCAATATATAATTTGTAGCAGAGACCACGTACACGATATTACTGCATGTAGACCCACAGGACCTTTTATTAGAAAATTTGCATGCCTTTACTACTTTATGTATCCATTTAATAGGAAATATTTTGATCCAGATATATACTTCCAACACCATTATTTTTGTTATTGATAATTTAAAGAATTGTTTTAGAATTTAATTTGCAGAAGAAAAGAAGTTCATATTGAGAGCTGTAGCATTTTCTCAGTCCCCTCTCCTCTTTCATAATTTCTGTAGCTATACCACCTATTCTATTTACGGCCTTTGTTTTAGTTTATACAAACTTGAATCTTGATATGGTTGAAATTATGATATGCTGAACATGTATTTAACTTCTTTTTTTGCAGTCACAATGGTGAGATGGAAGAAAATCAGATAAAATTGACAGGTGTCATCTATAGTGGAGTTATATTTTCTATTTATTATAAAACAACTTATCCTAATTTACCAGGTGGTGACTCAGGTGTGTATTATTTTTAAGAGATTATGCTAAATCAACCCATTCCAATTGACCAGTAGGTTCAACTAATGTCAACTATAACTCTATTTATGTTTAAGTAGAAATAAGTATGCTTATAACTTTCTCTTTAGAACACTAGATACCACTTTCCATTTGAAGAATTCACAAAGCCAATAAATTGTTGTTGTAAATGAAATGGTTTAATGTCTTACATTTCTAACTGTACCGGCCAGACTAATGAAGACAGGCATACAACATGCAGTGTGCTGTGACGAAAACTCTAACAGCAATACTACAGCCTACTCTTTTATTTCGATTTCTAACTGTTGGGGATCTAGGAAAGAAAAGGACTGGGTAAAAAAATGACAATTGCTAATTGTTTTATTAAGATTAAGAAGTAAACTAATAAATTTATGAACTTGTTATTTACAGGGGAATTGATCATCTCAGCTAATGAGTTAGGGGTAAGTTTATAATTTACAAAGCTTGAGTTAAATATAAAGAAAATTATTTAAAAAATCAATATTTTAAGCAAATTTTATAAGACACTTTTAATTTAAAAATTAATGACCTATGAGACCTCACATTATATAATATTATGCAGTTTTGTCAATTAAGAAATGCCAATATGATCTTTTGAATGAAGTACAGTAGGAAAATATTCCACATATCAATTTGAATGGAATAATAAATGCCCAAAAGTAATTTTGTATTGATAACGTTTTTAAAGTAGTAGCATTAAACGTTTGTTTTATGGAGCTGTGGTAGCTCAGTGAGTAAAATGCCAGATTTCTAACCTGAAGGTCCTGGGTTTGATCCTGGTGTTGACTGAGAAAGTTCCTCAAGTTTTTCTGTTGTGGTTTCCTCTTGTGGGTGGTGCAGGACAGAGGACATGGCAAGGAACAGTGTCTAGTATTTTTAATGGTGCAGAAAACTGAGGTCCTGTTTACACATTGGCATGCATGTTAAAGAACCCTCTCTTCATTATCCAAGAGGGAGTAGAACAGTAGGATATTAAACCCCATTTAATTAATTTTTGTGTGTTTTATATTACAGGTAGCCCATCCACCTGGTTATCCTGTATTTACACTACTATCATATATATTTATCAAACTTATACCATATGGTAGTATGGCATGGAGGGTTAATACATTATCTGTTTGTCTGTCAACGATCACTTCATTCTGTTTGTTTATAACTTTATCTAGGTACAAATACATATTTTTGTCCTACGTCTGTCTGTCCGTCCGTCTGTCACACTTTTTGGGACACAATAACTCTCCGTCTAATTGAGCTATAATGCTCAAACTTGGTGTAGGTGTTTATTACTAATAATATTAGGTCGATGCCTTGATGGAGTTCGAAGATGAGCATTTTCTGCTTAGCTTAAGCAGAGATAAGCAATTTGATTGGTTGATGCTTTGGGATACAATAACTTTAGTTCTGATTAAGTGAGAGTGATCCAACCAACTTGGTGTATAGTTTAATTACATCAGAACCTTGACTAAGTTCGATAATGAACATTTTCTGCTGAGGGTAAGCAAAGCGATAGGCAATTTGATGGGTCGGGACTTTGGAACACAATAACTCTCCTTCTAATTGAGCAACAATTTTTACACTTGATCTTGGTGTTTATTAGGTGAATGCCTTGATGGAGTTCGAAGATGAGAATTTTCTGCTAAGGGTAAGCAGAGATAAGCAATTTGATTGGTTGATGCTTTGGGACACAATAACTTTAGTTCTGATAAAGTGAGAGTGATGAAACTTGGTGTATAGTTTCATTACAACAATACCGTGACTAAGTGAGATAGTGAACATTTTCTGCTGAGGGTAAGCAGAGCGATAAGCAATTTGATTGGTCGACACTTTAAAACACACTAGGTGATCAGAGTGGCTAAGTGGGTAAGACGCTGACTCGCTAGCCTGGAGGTCTAGTGTTCGATCCCTGCATTGGCCGAGAAAGTTCATCCACATTTTCCAGCGTGGTTCCCCCCTTGTCAGTGTTGCAAGAAGGAGGACCTGACAAGGACAGCTGTTTAGTCGTTCGGATGGGACGAAAAACCAAGGTCCTGTGTACACATTGGCGTGCACATAAAAGATCACTTGACAGTTGGAATTTGATATAAGAGTAGGCCGTAGTGCCACTGTCCAGGCAAAATTCTCCTCACAGTACACTGTTTGGCGTATGCCCGTCTAGTTCGGAGCAAAACAGTTTGACGTTAAACCCAATTTCATTTGAAACACAATAACTCTCCTTCTAATTGAGGTAGAATGTTCAAACTTGGTTTAGGCATTCATTAGGTGAATGCCTTGATGGTGTTCGATGATGAACATTGTCTGCTTACGGTAAGCAGAGATAAGCAATTTGATTGGTCGATGCTTTTGGGCACAATAATTTGGGTTATAATTAAGTGAGAGCTATGAAACTCTAAGTATAGATTCATATCATTACCATGACTAAGTTTGATGAGAATTTTCTGCTTAGGCTAAGGAGCGATAAGCAATTTGATTGGTCAAGTCTTTGAAATAATAACAACTTAGTGTATAGTTGATAATCAGTTTGATACTTTTGAAAAAGATAAATGTGCAATTAATTAATATGTGTCATCCATTTATTTCGAGATTTCGGCGATCAGACATCAGCCTCACTGTTGGCTTGTTATTTTTAAACTAGAATAATTGTAATGGATCTATTTTAAAGGTTCATCAACTACTGAATATCAAACATTATGTTGATTTTGTAGAAAATTTAAAGGATATCAAAATTGTTATGACCAAATAGTTACTTGGTAATGACAAACACACCTGAAATGATTTCATATTGAGCAGTTTGAATTATTTGATAATATATAGCTGTTTTAAAAATTCAGGTCAATCTAGGTAATTTGGTACCTTTTGGATTTAAGCACTTGTTTCTCATTTAGATATTACATTTCTGTTGTATCATTAAATAAATTCACCTATTCATGCAGTCTGTTTCACTTAAATATATTAATTATGTAATTTTGTTTGTAGATTGTGTAAGAATATATCCAGTTGTTTGTTAGGTGGCTCTTTATTTTGTTTTATGTCTCTGTCATGGACATGGAATATTACATCTGAAGTTTTTAGTCTCAATAATTTATTCGTATCAGTATTAGTGTTGTTGTGTGTTTTATTTCAACATAAGGAAAAACAACAAAAAATCCAGGTAACACATCTGTACTATTTGTAATCAAATACTGAACAATATTTAAGAATTGAAATTTGAGTTTTCCTCCGACAAGCTTAATGAGTCAAATAACTCAATATTCCACTCGCCCAATATTACTACGGTACAAGTACTTTTTATACGCCCACATTGAAATGTGGTCGTATATTGTCGTCGCCCCCGTCGGTCCGTCCGGCGTCTACAAGCTCTAGAGGCTAAAGTTAATATCCGATTGACTTTAAATTTATACACAGTGTTTAAGGTCATGAGATGAAGAAGCCTATTGATTTTCAGCGATTTTCGATAATTACTGTCGGGGTTAATGGCCCTTGATCACTTCAAAAACTCTTGTGGACGCTCTAGAGGTCAAAGTTATTATTCGATTAACTTTAAATTTATACTCAGTGTTTAAGGTCATGGGACGAAGAAGCCAATTGATTTTCAGCAATTTCCAATTGATTTTAAATTTATACACAGTGTTTAAGGTCATAGGACGGAGAAGCCTATTGATTTTCAGCGATTTCCGATAATTACTGCCAGAGTTATGGCCCTTGATCGCTTCAAAAAATTACTGCCAGAGTTATGGCCCTTGATCACTTGATTTTCAACGATTTCCGATAATTACTGTCAAAGTTATGGCCCTTGATCACTTTGAAAAATCTTGTGACCCTCTAGAAGATTCATACACCGAGTTTAAGGTCTTGAGACGAACAAGTATAATGATTTTCAATGAATTTTTATGACTTGAACAGCTAAATCCATGATGTTAAAAGTTTCCTATACTAAACGTTAAAATGGGGCAAAACTTTATAAAAACCAAACAAATTCTAATGGTTTTCTGATAATTACTTAATGAGTTGTTACTCTTAATCAGATTTTAATGTATTATAAATGTTTCATTACCGAAAAAAGTAAAAATATGTGACAACTCTTGTTGACTGCCCGAACGATTTAGCTGCTGTGGGCGTATGTTTCGTTGCCTTGCAACCTATCTTTATTTATGTATTTGAATTAATATTATATTTCCATTAAATATGCTAATTTATGTCATAAATGTTCTTGATTTGAATTGAAAAGTGGCAGTGATGTGCTACGTGATAACTATTGAGATGTCGTCAAAATTAATCTGACATCACGATTGTGATCAGGCAACTGGAGTTATTGGCTATTAAACTCGACATTATCAGTGTCATTAAATTACATGAGAGAGCTCAGTTGTACTATAAACATATTTACTATAAAGGACCCCATTGGAAATAAACCTAGTTTTATTTTAAGCAGGTTTTTTATGGGTTATCCTCAAGAGGCTGGTCATCCATGACATCATTACTTTTTCTCTCATCAAAACTTTCTCATCTTATTATCATGTAACTTCATATGATCATCTATATTGTCATGTATGATATGCCTCTTGGAAGAATAAATAAATAAATAAATAAATAAATACCTGTTTTAGGATAATGATTACACTGTAAACATATTTACCCGTTTTCGAATAATGATTATTTTGTTCTGTGTTCTGTGTATTTAATCTAAATCATTTTTCAACTTCTAAAATCATTTGTTCAATTTACAGATTTGAATTATTTTTCAGATTTCTTTTATTGGAGCCTTTATAAGTGGATTATCATTATGTAATCAACATACTATAGTTATCTATGTATTATGTATAGCCGTTTGGGTTATTTATACATTATATAAACAGAAGGTAAATATCATCTAACAATCTACATTCCATAATTACCATATGTTAGTTCTACAAAGATCTAGCCTCTCTCAAATCCAGTACACATGGTCATCATCCTTGTCCAGCAGTTGGTCTGTCTGTCCACAGTTCTTGCATGTACATTGGTCTGTTATTTGAGACTTTGTGGAGAACTTGTCAGAAATGCTTGGTTAGTCATAAAGACCTGAAAATGTGAAAACACACATCAGTCTGTTGCAGTTTGATATATATAGCATATTCTACATGCCTCTTGTTCTGCGCACATAAGTAAAGGAGACATCAGTAGACAATCTTAGTAAACTTAAATAGTAAGTGCAGGAGGACTGCACTACCGGTACTCGCATAGCAAAACCGTCCAAATAAACCTGCGGACAAAACAACTACATAGACATTGCAAGAAATAAATAACAAATATCAAACAAATCAAGTGAATGGATCCGGGGGGTGGGGGCAGTCTTAAGCGGCGTCCACTGTGCTGTACAGTCCCGGCCTGTAATCATGCAGGCTACACTCAAAATGAAAAAATATATCTACAAAAGAGATGTAACAGAAATAATGCGACCAGTCTTGACGGTGGTCGTGTCTTAACTGACGATAGTATGCCAGTTGATGTCATGAGCTAGAATGTCAAACAATTTTTACAATAAGGGCAATAATCTTGATAGAATCTCGGAAAATGCTAAAAAAAAAAATAAATAATAAAGTGTGGTGAGCAAGCAAGAATTTAAGTGAAGTAGATAAAAAGTTTTGAATATGATAAATGCAGAATCTCTATTTTTGATTTGATCCACTAATAGATAGATAGACAAGCATGGAATCAGTTTATAAGTAAAATATGACTGTGCTGCTGTAGCTGAAACTGTTGTTGCCCTGAATTCTGCATCAGTAAATGCAATGTACTATTTAAAACACAAGAGGAAGTATCAACTGTTATCAATTAGACCAGTGAAAACAATTGCCCATAATTATTTTTATTTGAAGGAAATTAACGATAAACAGTTGTAAATAAGAAACTATATTATACTCTTGTCTGATAAGTTGTTCAATGGCATTAACTGGAAATACACAGGGCACTACTCTATCAAATACAATTACTATTTATTACCAAGCTCAGTAACAAACAGTAATTGTATTTAATAGAAAGGTGTCCTGTGTATTTTATATTCATTATTTATGGTAAGAACTTGAATTGAAATTTTGGGTACTTTTTAAGTAAATTCTTTTTATTTATTTCTGTATTTCAGATAATACATAAATGGGTGATCTTTTTATTAACATTATGTTTGTGTTTTTGTTGTGGATTAATACCATATGTTTATCTACCACTGTCGGCACATTTTAATATGGCCAGATGGACCTGGGGAGATCAGAGAACACTTTCAGGATTTTTACGGCATATTTTAAGAAGAGAATATGGAACATTTGAATTGGTAAAGTTTTATAACATACCTTTTTTTGCTTGATTAGTACATAGTAAAATGCACTGCACAAGTTATTGTGTTGAATAATAATCCTCAGACAAAATTGCTGTTTTTTATTTCAAGTTACTGTATACAAATATCTCAAAAACTTTGCAAAAGGTCAATTTGAAATCTGTGATAATCTGGATAAGATTATATTTTTGATAATTTTCTGTCTTATCTTGTAGTTAAAAGATCACCAAGGTCTAGGTCTATTGAAAGGATTAAGGTAGTATTACAAGTATTTTATTACCAAAACTGTAAGTAACTTCAAACTATAGAATAAGTTCACTTGATCCGGGTCACACTTCACATGGAGTATGTGAAGTTACTACCCACAAAATTCAATAGGGTTTTATAGTACAATTTTTAGTTTACGTTTTTTTGTAAGTATTTATGAAACAGGTCCATGCATATTGCTGTTCATCTTGTATACATGTATATTAGATATATGTATACCATGTTTGTCTTTTGATCATATGGAGAAAACATATACACCTTTTATGAATATTTCATATTATATGATGTAAGTTTTGTTATTTGTTTTACAAAAAAATTTGGAAATAGAATGTTGTATTAATTTCAGTGCCTATAACAATCATATATTATATGAATGGGGTGTTATTGGACTAGGTGCTAGTTATCTGTGTATTATTTCTGTTATAAGAAGGTGAGTTACCATGTGATTTTATACATATAATGACGAGTTACCCAAAATGTTGACGTAGGCTAGATCAAAAAGATGTCTGATAGTAACATAATATTTCAAACATACATCCTTTTTCAAACAGAAATCCTTTTTCAAACATATCCTGGTGACCTATACCTAGGTTGACACATGGACAGTACAATGTTAATGTAAACCATAAACATTCACATTAGTAATATTGATATAATCTGAGCGCCATGGAAAACGCATCACTTAGTTTTTCGTATAACAAAATGATCCTGTAAACATATCTTATTTATTTTGCTTCTTATTGTGAACAATATTCAAATGGGAACACATCAATAACAACACATTTGTACACTTATAGATGTTTAATCTGTAATCAACGGTACAAAGTCAGAGGGGTCAAAACCAAAAGTATGACAGATGTCAGTAGCGCGAGTGTCCTCCACGGGCTCTTATGCACGTTGTGCAGCGACGTCGCATGGAATTTACCAATGTTTAAAAGAAGGCCTGGGGCAAATTGTTCCATTCTTGGACAAGAGCAACTTCTAAAGCAGCAATGGTGTGCATCTGTGGTCTCCGATACAGACGGCGTCCAATCTCATCCCAGACATGTTCTATCTTTGCCATGTCCGGAGACATGGCTGGCCAGTCCAAGACATTGATGTTGTTAGCAGCCAGGTAGTCCATACTAAAACGGGCGGTATGCAGACGTGCATTATCCTGTTGGAAGTGCTGAAGTTGTGGGTGCGCTCGAAACATCGGAACAACAATTGGTTGCAAGACATCATCACGGTAGGCTACAGCATTAACGCGACCCCTGCAAATGTGTAGGGCGGTCAGGTGATGAAATGTGAAGCCTCCCCACACCATTACACTTCCCCCACCCCATCGATTCGTTTCGAAAACGCAGCAGTGTGCAAGACGTTCCCCAAGACGTCTCCACACACGTTGATGGCCATCAGCGTGATAAAGATGAAAGCGACTCTCATCACTGATGAGCACACTTTGCCAGTCTGGTTTGCTTGAGCCCATATCAAACGCCGCTGACCGTGATGATCCCTGAGGATAGCTCCAACATAAGGTCGTCATGCACTTCTCTTAGACGATGTCTTACGGTGTTGGCACTTACTGGTCCTTGTCTTCCGACGACTGCTGCACCTGTTCGAGTCGCTGGGCGGAATCTGTCACGCAGATGAGTGACCCGGATGTAGCGGTCTTGAGCCTGGGTTGTAACGCGTTGTGGACCAGGACGTTAACGGTCACGTGTTGATCCAGTAATTCGAACACGTTCCACCAACCTTACAATAGTGGACTGATGACAATTGAAGTGTCTGGCAATAGCACGTGTAGACATGCCAGCCCTGGACATTCCCATGGCTTCATTCTGTTGATTTTCAGTAAGTCTCGGCATCTCTAGCTCGATTCCTTCACACGTCCAACAACAAGTTACGACGGATTGACGTTTCACAGTTCATGTACTGCACATTAAGTTGAAAACATGCTTTTAAAGGGCTCACACACAATGCTTCACGTGAATATTGGGTTTTTCATGTACATCTCGTGCAATCTGGTTTTTTTGCACACGGGCTGATATTTTTTGCATTTGGGAGCATTGTGTGAAACAATAGTTCATAGTATTGCATAATATTATACATACAAAACCACCTAATAATAAAATATTTTGGAAAAAAAAGTGATGCGTTTTCCATTGCGCTCAGTATATAAATAAATGTAAATATTTTTTTTTTTTTTTTTATTTCAGATTACGTCAGGGAAAATATTGTTTATGTGTTTTATATATAATGATGGTTTCATACCTCTTGCTTTTTACATGGTTAGCTAATTTAGATATAAGTAATCCACTTTTATTTGGGGTGGTAAGTAACAAATATATCAAGAATTCTTTGTTTTTTTGGGGGGGAGGGGGAGAGAGAGAGAGGTTTAACGTCCACTCAACACAGACTAGGTCATTTCGTGACTAACGTATGTTTTAATTTTGTTTCAATAATTTAGCAGTGAGAGGAAACCGGAGGACCCGGAGAAAACCCACGAGGTTGGACAGGCGACCCTACTCCTTGTCACGTACAACCGGGGATTCGAAACCACGCCAGTTGACTCAATGACAGGCCTTATGATACAGCGCACATAAGCTAACCATTCGGCCATCCAACCCCTCTTTAAGGGGAGTAAATCACATGGTATACATAACGTTTTTAAGAATAACTGGTATCACTTTTTATACGCCCACATGGAAATGTGGACGTATATTGCCGTTCCGTCTGTTGGTGGGTCCGTCCGTTCTAACGCCAAAAGTTATAATCTAATTGTTTTAAAATTGATATGCTTTATTTAAATTACTGAAATTTATATGCATTATTTAAATTACTGAAATTTATATGCATTATTTAAATTACTGAAATTTATATGCATTATTTAAATTAGTAAAAACGAAAAAGTCTGTCAAATTTCAACAATTTCAGTAAATTACTTCCAGATTTCAGGCCCGTGTTTGAGTTTGTAGAACCTTGTGAACCCTCAAACAACAAAATTTTTAATCAGATCTGTATGAAATTGTCTTGTAAATGCCCCCAATTACCTACAAATGAATAAATATGTGACAATCCTTGTTGACCGCTCAGATTTAGCAGCTGTAGGTGCATATTTCGTTGCCTGGCAACCTATCTTTATGTATATATGAAGAGCTTTAAAAATACAAAAAAGTGGAATGCACCATTCCTGCCAAACTGAGATAATTGTGCAGTAAGATAGCTTATTAGGTCAGAATAAAAATTTATCGATGTTAGTTTCCATGCATAGCATGTTAAAATCAACAGAATCAGCCATCCAGACTGTACTGAAAATAACTAAAAATGTATACATTGTACTGCATTTTGTATTCAAAGTCTTCATATGTAGTTTCTTATGTATGTTATATTTATTTATAGCACGGTTTTCATTCATGAGTTAACAGGTTTAACCACAGAGGCCGTAGGTAGGCCGAGGTGTTAAACCTGTTAATAAATGAAGCGCGCTATAAATGACTTGTAACATTGACACCTGCTCAACATGCTCGTTGTTATTGCACAGATAACCCATCCCACTTCTCTATATGATTTCTACTAAACTAGCGTAAACCAGCAAAAGTATGCAATAACATTGAAAATGTCTAGTTATTGCACAGTTAAACTCCAGCCAATCTGCTTGAAGGAAAACAAACTGCTTATTCAACGAAAAGAACAAAGGAAGATTTCCCGTCCATGATATATATATATATATATATACTAAATTTTTATAGGTAAAAAGATTTTGGATACAAGTAGATTTAGTATTGGCAATATTAGTAGCTGTTTTATTTGATGACCTTGTCAGGTAAAATTATAAAATGTTTTAACATATGTACATTGGTAACATTATATTAACTATTTATAGGCAGACAAATAGGTCATAATGATCAAGATATTCAGGATGCTTGAAAATGTGTAGTGTTTTTATACGCCCACATGGAAATGTGGTCGTATATTGCCGTCGCCCCCGTCCGTCCGTCCGTCCATCGGTCCGTCAATCATAGACTACATTTATCAACCGATTGTTTTGAAATTGATATATGTTCTTTGCATTAGTGAGTTGAAGAAGCCTATTTAATTTCAATAACTTCCGTTAATTTCTTCTGGAGTTATGGCCCTTGTTTCACTTTGTTGCACCTTGTGAACGCTCTACAGACTACATTTATCAACCGATTGTTTTGAAATTGATATATGTTGTTTGCATTAGTGAGATGAAGAAGCCTATTTAATTTCAATAACTTCCGTTAATTTCTTCTGGAGTTATGGCCCTTGTTTCACTTTGTTGCACCTTGTGATCGCTCTAACGACTAAAGTTATCAACCGATTTGTATGAAATTTATATGCATTATTTAAATTAGTAAAACAAAGAAGCCTATTGAATTTCAGCAATTTCCGTATTTTACATCTAGAGTTATGGCCCTTGTTTCACTTTGTTGAATCTCGTGAACGCTCTAATGACAAAAGTTATCAACCGATCTGTATGAAATTGATATGCATCATTTAAATTAGTGAAATGAAGAATGACAAAAGTTATCAACCGATCTGTATGAAATTGATATGCATCATTTAAATTAGTGAAATGAAGACGCCTATTGAATTTCAGCAATTTCCGTTAATTTCTTCTGGAGTTATGGTCCTTGTTTCACTTTTTTTGCACCTTGTGAACGCTCTAACGACAAAAGTTATCAACCGATCTGTATGAAATTTATATGCATCATTTAAATTAGTAAAACAAAGAAGCCTATTGAATTTCAGCAATTTCCGTTAATTACATCTAGAGTTATGGCCCTTGTTTCACTTTGTTGAATCTTGTGAACGATCTAATGACAACAGTTATCATCCGGTCTGTTTGAAATTGATATGCATCATTTAAATTAGTGAAATGAAGAAGCCTATTGAATTTCAGCAATTTCAGTTCATTTCTTCTGGAGTTATGGCCCTTGTTTCACTTTGTTGCACATTGTGAACGCTCTAACGACAAAAGTTATCAACCGATCTGTATGAAATTTATATGCATCATTTATATTAGTAAAACAAAGAAGCCTATTAAATTTCAGCAATTTCCGTTAATTACATCTAGAGTTATGGCCCTTGTTTCACTTTGTTGAATGTTGTGAACGCTCTAATGACAACAGTTATCATCCGATCTGTTTGAAATTGATATGCATCATTTAAATTAGTGAAATGAAGAAGCCTATTGAATTTCAGCAATTTCCGTTAATCACGCCGTGAGTTATGGCCCTTATTTCACTTTGTTGTACCTTGTAAATGCTCTAACGACAAAAGTTATTATCTGATCTGTATGAAATTTATATGTATCATTTAAATTAGTAAAACGAACAAGCCTATTGAGTTTCAGTTATCACCTAAATTAGTGAAATGAAGACGAACAAGCCTATTGAATGTCAGCAATTTCCGTCAATTACATCTCGAGTTATGGCCCTTGATTTACTTTGGTGAACTTTCGAACAACAAAAGTTATCATCCGAACTGTATGAAATTTATATGCATTATTTGAATTAGTAAAACGAAAAAAGCCTGTCGAATTTGAACAATTTCTGTAGATTGCTTCCAGAGTTACGGCCCTTGTTTTAGTTTTTAGAACCTTGTGAACCTTCAAACAACAAAATTATAATGTCATGTGTATGAAATTGTCTATTAAATTCCCCTAATTACCTACAAAAGAATAAATATGTGACAACCCTTGTCGACTGCTCGGACGATTTAGCTGCTGTGGGCATATGATCTGGCAACCTATCTTTATTGTCTTTGTACCTGAACATCTTGTGAACCTACCCATTGAAATCACCAGAAATGGTCAAAACTGGCTGTAGGGCAGTCATCAATTACCTGGGCTGCAGCTGAAAGGACTAACCCCAACACAGATACATGCCGACATTGTCTCCACTTCGGGTGATGATGCCCCTTCCTTTACCACAGTAAAGAAGTGGGCTGCAGAATTAAGCGTGGCAGAGAGAGCCTTGACCCGCATCCTGAAAGGCCATCAACATATTGCCAGTGATATGGGCATCTCTCATGAGAGAGTTGAGCACATTATCGCCTTTTAAAATGACAAAAGTTTCTGCAAGATGCGTGCCAAAGCTCTTGACTGTAGACAAGAAATGTATCATATTCCTGCGCCATTTTGAAGCAGATCCTGATAACTTTTTGGACAGATTTGTAACCATGGATGAGACCTGAATTCATCACTTTCAACCAGAATTCAACAATCAGTCTAAACAATGGAAGTATTCAGAGTTGCCAGTACCCCAAAAAGCCAAGACAATTCCTTCTGCTGGAAAGGTGGTGGCTTCAGTCTTTTGGGATTCCAAGAGTCTTCTGCTGATTGACTATCTTGAAAAAGGCCAGACTGTCAATAGAATATATTATGCTGACCTACTGAGGCAGTTGTGTGAAGCTATCAAAGCTAAGCAATGGGGATTGCTCACTAAAGGCATCCTGTTCCACCAAAACTCTTTGACCATCCACCTTACTCACCCGAATTCGCCCGTCAGACTTCCATCTGCTTCCAAAAATGAAAAAATAACTAGCCGTCGTCATTTTCCTAGTAATGATGACGTCATGTCAGCTGTGAATGAAAAAGATTTCATCTTGACTGGCATCCAGCCATTGCAAATTGGTTGGCAAAAGTGTGTACACCTCGAACTAAGGGGACTATGTAGAAAAATATATGGAAACCATCGACTTTGTACAGGTCTTTCACAGATAGGCTTAAAACTTTTCAGCCAGCCCTTTTTTGCCAAGATGACAGCACTAAGGCTACTTGTATTTGATTTTCAACTATCAGGGTATCTTTAACGTGTTGCTAATGGCATACTCAGGAACTTTCTCAGCCAACAAGGGTGTTGAACCTGGGACCTTGTAGTTGTCCATGACAGCAGGTACTCACCAAGCCGCTGTGGATCCTTGAATTCAAACAGTTACGTATACATAGTCATAAAATAGAAATTGACAAATCGAGCATTGATACTAACACTATCGAATATGGACTTTATTTCACTTTTTTTTATATATTATAGTGTGGTTAAGCAACATGGTATGTGGAATGGTTATATTGAGTTACTTAAAGTTGATACCATCATAGCAGGTTTAATAACATATTCTCTTTTAGTAAGTGTTCTTGATATGTTTGGTTCTGTTATATATACTGACATCCAAGGAAACTGTATCATAAAAATATTATTTAATTCTCTTTATGGTTAAATATGTTGCCTCAATCTAGCCAATGTATACCGTGGGGTTATTATTTGCAGTGAGATTGCTTATTGTGACAAACCTATTGACCTAATTTTTAATGTGTTTTGCAGAGTTGTCTTGTTCACATTTTAACTGTTAAAGCTTTTGAATTTTATACTGCAAGAAGTCCTCAATTGAAATTATTAAAACTAAGTGGGATTGATCATAGGGGCATAAGGAGGAATTCTCTTGAAATTCAGACTATTTCAATGCTATTATTTGGAGTTATCCCTGCATTTACTTTCAGATTCATGAAGAAAGAGAGAGAGAAATGGGGTTTAACGTCCACTCTACACAAACTAGGTCATTTTGGGACTAACATAGGTTCAAATTTATTTCAATAATTGGCTTGTGCGTAGGAGTCTTTAGCAGTGGGAATAAACTGGAGGACCCGGAGAGGTTGGACAGGTGACCCTACTCCTTGTCACATACAAGTAGGGAGTCGAAACCATGTCACTTGAGTTAATGACAGATCTTGTGATTTATCATGCACACTTTAAAGCATTCGGCCATGCAACCCCCCTCCCCAGATTCATGAAATATTATAAACTTAACATAAACAAAGTAATTGATGGAATATTTTAAAACTTGATGAGATAAGGAAGAATCTGAATGAATTTCAAATCTTTTGGATAATGAATTTTAAACTCGTTATTGTTTACGTTTAATTTAAAACTTTTTCTCTATTTCTTAGCTGGTGAATTATCAACATTGTGATCATAGTAAGAACACGGTGATTATTGATTTTGCTACACGAATATTAAACAGCTTGCCATATAATGCAATAGTTTTAACTAAAGGGGATTTACCTTCCAATTCCATAAGGTAATAATTACTGCTGACATGAGTAACAACATCAAAATATTACCAAAGTGCTAGCAAATATGTGTGGTTTAATTTTCAAGAGCGAGATATTAAGTAATATATTGAAACAACACGAATCTTGTTTCAATATATTTTTCATTGTCTTAAGCTTGACACCATCAAACAACTTAAAATACAGACACTTGCACATGCTTTGCTATGAAATACGTCGTGCTGGTCCAAAATTTCAACTAGTATAACCCATTTTTGATGAGTGCGAATCAGTTCGCACCCATCATTTGGCGGTAGCCAATCAACTCGCTGACCCATCATACCTGGCAACGGTATTAGCGAAGAAAAACACCAGATCAATCACCTGATTTCTATTTTTTTTTTATTTCTTAAATTAATGGTGATTGAATAATGAAAATAAAACACCCAACGAAAAGGAATGTTATATTCGCTAATTATTGAATAAAAAAACATATGTTTTAACAAAGGATCTTGCGGTATTTACGTAATAGGTCAGAGGTCAAAATTCACACCGTGTCCATGATTTTGGCATTATTCCAATATTTTCACATTATCACTTACGGCTAATAATTTTATGATATGGAGAGTGAAATGGAATCAGATTTTTTATGATTTACTGCCAGGCATATCGTGGAATATGATAATGTCGAAGAAATCAATCATTTATTATTTTTTTTGACGTGATGTGAAGAATATGCATACTCGTGCCGAGATCAAGCTTTCCGGTCGCCATCTTGGACATGCATTCACACACACGGATGAAACCACAAAACATAAGGCTAATAATTCTAGACTTTGGAAAGCTAAATTGAATCAAAACTTTTAGGATGTGTAATACAAGCTACATAGAGGAATATTACATTGTCAAAGATTTCAACTATATATTTTTATTTTCGACGCAATGAAGCAAAGAAAACGACAATTCCTGTCATATATCCAAAGAAAGGCAGAAATGTCATATGCTGATAGCGATGAAGTGACCGTCATTTGGGGCGATATGTCTTTTTAAAAGTTATATTTATATTTACTTTGAACACTGCTGCCAATGTGAGGGACAATTCTTAAGGGATACTTGTTCACGGTATTTTACCATTATGACAGAGAAAAATCATAATTTTAGTGGAACTGACTCTTCAATATTATTTTATATGATTGGAAAGAACACGACAATCTGTACATTTTTGTAACAGAGTATTTCTTTGTATAGAAAATCAGTCCTTCACGTTTAAGGGGAGCTTTCGCTCCTGCTCCTCTCGACGCACGTCGGCTTTCCTTAGAAGGAGTCATTAATAATAAAGACTCCTGCAAATTAGCTAAATCGCTCTCCTAAATATTGAGATTAATAAACTACTTTCAGTTTTTGTTTACTTTTAAACTGCATATATTCAAGGTATCAGGAGCTTTTTATGGCTCCCGCACAATTTTATAAACGTGAAGGACTGGAGAAATATTATTTTAGTTATTTGCAATTTTGTAGAGGGTATTAGGATTAACAATAATCCACTAATTGGCTTAGGGAGATGGACCCTGCTGATTTAATGTGCTTAGGAGTAGGGTAACTAATCTTTTAATCGCCTCAGGGTTAAATGGGATAAATGAAATGAATGAAATGAAATGGAGTTTAACGTCCTACTGTTCTGCTCCTAACCTGGGCTAATGAAGACGGGCATACGCCATACAGTGTGCTATGAGGGAAATTTTGCCCGGGCAGCGACACTACGGCCTACTCTTATATCGAATTCCAACTGCCAAGGGATCTTTTACGTGCACGCCAATGTGTACACGGGACCTCGGTTTTTCGTCCCATCCGAACGACTAGACAGCTTTCCTTGTCAGCCCCTCCGTCCTGCATCACTGACAAGGGAGAACCACGCCGGAAAATCTGGATGAACTTTCTCGGCCAATGCAGGGATCAAACACCCGACCTCCAGGCTAGCGAGCAAGCGTCTTACCCACTTAGCCACGTGATCCCCAAATGGGATAAATGGGGTCTTCCCATATAGCGGACTCATCACAATTTGGAAAGTCGACCGCGACACTCTTCGATGGGTTAAAAACGGATTAAAAGCGTTAATGAGGCAGGAACCAGTCATTATTAATATAGTTCACTTAAATTGATTTTTATCAGAATTTAACTCACTCACTAATTAATAAAATGAATATATTTCACTTAAATTACATGAATTTTAATTTTGTCAGAATTCAACTCACATTCGAAACATAGATATGAACAAGGAAGAATGAATTTGTTAGAATTTTTGGACTATATTGGACACTTTATTGGACACTTTATGCGTGCAAAAAGTTAAAATTATGTGTTATGTTATGTGTTAAAGGTTGTTATAAATTTTAAAAAAATAAATGCTCCCAATATTATCTGCTTAATTAGTTTATCCTTCAGCTCACTGCTCCCGTCAAAAGGCAAAACCTAGTAACTCACTTTTTCTTATTTTGAGAAAACAAAGGAAAACGTAATGAATGAATATTAAACCCCAGCTCATTCTATTGAGTTACTAGGTTTTGATGTGGTATACTAGGCAAATGAAGGAAGTTGCTAGGTTGTGTCATGGGTGCAACTGCTTACAAAATCAAAAGATTGGAATATCTAGTACAACAACAGGAAGCACATACCCTAGTAACTACAAATTTGGTCCTAACTCAATTTTGATAAAAAAGTGAGTTACTATAGGTTTTGCCTTTTGACGGGATGGGTCTATTGTTCTTGGCCACTCAACCCCTTAACACCGACCCAAAATTTTCACCTAAAACTCCGCGAGTCGGCGATATGGGAATGAACCGGATAAATAATATACACTTGACACATTGCCAGTACCATTATTTGAAATAATGGTAGGTCAAGATCAAAGGCTGACATCACATTTGTATTTTAAAAATAATTAATATTGCATGCTATATAATTCTCTACCTGATTAATTAATGTCTGGTCAATGTATTGAAGAGAATTAGATAATATGTAATGCTGTGGTGGATAATTTAATATACAGGGTGGCCCACACAGCCAAAAATGTATTACGTGTATGTGTATTTACAGATATGCTCAATTTATGGAAAATATTCGTCCTGATGTGACAACATTTGATCAAGAAGTAAGTAAATTTCAGTTTCAGTGACAATAAGTTATGCAACTTTGTAGGAAAAATGTTATCCTGATTTCTGTCAGGATAACATGACACGAGACATTTCTTTTTGTTATTTGCAGGTGTTAACATATGAATGGTCATTACCTATGCTCAAACATCATTATCCGGATATGATCTTTCCTGGTGATCTTTTATATACAACATCTGGTATACTAGCAGACGGCAGACAAACATTTAACTTTAAAACATTATTAGATTCTAATTATAACAGGTACAGCTATAGTACAACCAAATTTTACATGTCTCTTGTTCTGTGTGGATATAGAGTTGAAATAATGTTTCATTTGATGCTTAAATAGATAGGGTTTCTTTCTAGTTTGCTTATGTAATTACAATTCTTGAGGGAAGAACAGCAAATCCTCTGACAATGATCCACAGAGGATCGTCCAATTATTATGCACACATAGGGCTTGTAGAATGTGGTTGTAATGTAATATTGTAATATGATATTTTGTGCCACATCAATGCACTTGAAGAAACTTTGTATATGGCCTAGAGTTCAATTAGCAATAAGATATGGTATACAATTCTTACTGGTATTTTCATCTCTATAAATTTTTCTAACAAACAAAACCTAATGCACCATTGTTTTCCAATATATTCAAATGCTCTTCAGATCTTTGAGTTGTCTATATATTTAGGCAATTAGTAGAATTGTAGTTAAATTCAGCTAACCGATGTTTGTGTTAATTTTCTGAAGACCTATTTATGCCTGTATTGGTGTACAAAATCATGATTCCTCGTGGATAGAAGCCTATGAATTATGGCCGTATGGTGTGTGTTCAAAGTTTGTTAGAAAGGGTAGTTCTTTGGATATAGAAGAGTATGTAACAGAAACAAATAGATTTATAATGGATTGGCCATATCCATATAACAGGTATGTATAATTTTGAAACATTCAGTATTTTAACTCACCTGTTATATAATGGCTATGATTGGATTTAATAAACTAGTCTTCAATATTATTCCATTATATTTTCCAGGTTAATTTTTGAAAGTATATCTTTTCCATAACTGATATCACTTCTCATTTTTATACGCCCACATTTTCATTTGGACGTATATTGTCGTCCCCCCTGTCCGTCCACAATTGTTTGTGGACAGTCTACAGGTCACAATTTTTATTCGATTTGAACAAAACTTGAAATATAGGTTTATCCCCCTAAGATCTTGGTTCCTTTTGATATTGGCATGTATCGGACCATAACTTCATGGATTATGGCCTCTGATTGTACGAAAAATCATGTTTTTAGCTTGTTTTTTGCGTACGAGGAATGGCCATTTTGTCCAGCAGTTTTGAACCGATTTTAATGAAATTTGAACTCAAGCAAAATTATGGTGTAACAGTGATATATTCGAAGGTTTTTTTAATCAGATAATAATTGTGATCTCTAGAGGGACCATTTTTTTTAGTTTTTTAGCTCGTTCTCTGTCCATCTCTTGCAAAATGTGGGCGTATCTTGCATGGCAACCGCTTGGTTGGTAGTCTGTTAATCAAACACTATGAGCAAATTAAGGTCTGGAAACTGAGAATTTTGTATGTTGTGCTTGTCCATCTTCATAAGCCCAGATGGGGCAGAAAAGTAGGATGAAAACCCATTTCATTTCATGCTGTTTTTGTGTCCAAATTTGTGTATATTTATTGATTATTTATTGCAAAAATCTATTTAAACATGCATTATGCAAGAGCTAAATCTGCCTATTGCAGGTCTTCCTTTAGGCCTGAAATGTTACCTAAATTATAAATTAGACATTAATTAACTTATCCAGACCATAATCAACTCTCGATTTCATCGCTAGCCTGCGATGGTTGTTGGATTACGTTCCGATTTGCTGTTTGACTGCCATTCATGATTTAATCATGAAATGGATAATCGAGACTATGTTTTTTATCGTACCAACTTTAGTAATGTTGATCGGATGCTAGGCCGAAAATTCAATCGCTAAAATCTCGGTTCAGAGTGAATCAATTTGACTGAAATTTTCAGCAAATTCCCTTTACATTATCTAGTTTTTAACTATTATACTGGGAACTGCCAGCTCTTTATCTAATCTCCCATAATGTATCTTTAAAATGCTGATACAAAGCTTTTAATCAAGTATAAGAAAAGATCTATCCCAGTTATATTTTACTGTCCAACAAAACGATTAATGACTTATTTTCCTGTTTTCCCTGGGTTGTTTAAAATAAATTGCAGTACTTGTGGATGTAAAAGTTTTTGTTAAACGGAGTTACTTCATGTGATAAAGAATTAACTATTTCAATTAGCAAAACACAAAATCATAAAACATTATCTGGGTGTTTGAGACCAATGTTTTTAGAAATTGACATAGCTAACAATTTGTTTTAATTTTGTATTGCTCACAGATTTGACAAGACATCATGGGAACATGTAGCAACTCAAGAAATGTGGGATGCTAAGTAAGTTAATTTCATCTGCACTGACAAGTAATCACATTATACACATACTGATGCTAATTGGAGGGAGGCAGCAAATTATATTATTGCAATGTACTTCTGTAATTAAGTATATCGGATAATTGTATATATTTTAGGAGTTCTGTGGGTTTATTATTTTTGGAGAAAGCTGAAGAATATGATGATGCCAACATTAAATTGTTATTACTCCAGTATTCTTATGATGTAAGTACTGTAAACCTGGTCAATTAAGAAAATTAATGTAAAATTTTAAATCCCTTGCAAACTACAATTTTGTGAAAGTCGAATCTCTTAAAGCAATTCAATTCCATTCAATATTTACAAATATATGGCCCATTTGAAATCTGCAATATTCTGTTTCCTCTCTGCAACTGTATAAACAGAATGTGGTCAAAATGGCCATAATTCACTTTGGTCAAAACTCACAATGGACAAAAATATGGCTATTTTGACAAAATTGGGGGGGGGGGGCATTTTGGTTTAAGGCTATTTAGGTTTGCATATTGTCGTCTTGTGGACACTATATGCTCAAGTTATCATCTGTTTGACATGTTCATTTCTGATAATTACTGTCAGAATTATGGCCACTTTTTAAAATTTATACAAATAGTTTTCGTCCATGATACCAAGAAGTCTATCGATTTTCAAGAACTTAGCTGCTGTGGACGTATCTTTTGTTGCCTACACATAACGAAGCCTTATTTATTTACTATTTAGAATTGTGTGATAATAATAGCCAGGCCCTTACACAAGAGTTTTTTAAAAAAAAAGAAACTGTTGCAATTATTTGGCTACCCATACAGGAGCTTACTAAAAATATTTCCACTGACACCACTGACAGGAGGTCAGAATTTGCAATTGCCTGGTTTAGAAACTATGTATTCTATAAAAGTTGTAATTTTGTACAAATTACTCATTTTTTGATTCCTTCACAGATCTATCATAGAGCAATGGATGCAAATGAGGTGTTTCCTGTTCACTGGCACAAAAATCTTGCCTTAGTGTGTGAGAAATTATCACGATTAAATCAACATTCTCATAAACAACTTATCACTGAAAGTATTCAACAATTTCAACATTATATCAGATTAGATCAAAGTGACAAAGACTTTGAAAGAATTATTGATGCAATAAAGAGTTTGACGAAATACTTAGAAACTATAAGATAGTATTGTCACAGAGAGAGAGGTCTGATAGTTTAATATTAATGAATTTTTAAAATGTTTTTTATAATAAATATATTTTAAAAAAAATGTTTTTATTGTTCACAAGTCCACAAAAATGCACCCTTTCACCTCACTGCAAGGGCATGTGTATCCAATACTGAGTCATGAGCCATCACATAATCATGAGTGCTGTTACACACAGCCCAATTATGGCCAAGAAATTTCCTCAGGATTTTCACACGGACCTTTTCAGTGGTGCAGGAGGTAGGGCCTGACAAGAAACAGTGTCTAGTGACTCATTAGGATGGAAAAAAAAAGATTCTGTCGCTATACGTTGTTTAATATGTTGATTATAACATCTGAATATTCTCCAGTTTGTTTTGACAGGAAGTTTCAATCCGATTTTCACAAAATTTGAACTCAAATGTAATTATGGTGTAACGATCATATATGAACATATTTTTAAATCAAACAAGCCAACAGTGAGGCTGATGTCCATTGCTGAAATCCCGAAAAAAATAAATGACACATTAATTTTATGCACGTTTATCTTTTTCAAAGGGAATCGAGCAATCAAACTGATGATCAACTATACACTAAGTTTCATCACTCTCTATCAGATAGAATCAAAGTCAAAGAAATTGCTTAGCTTTAGCAGGAAATGTTAATCATTGAACTCAGTAAAGACATTCACATCGAACATAAACATCAAGTTTAAACATTCTCAATTAAAAGCAGAGTTGTTCTGTTTCAAAGTCTTGACCAATCAAATTGCTTATCGCTCCTTAACATAAGCAGAAAATTCTCATCAAATTAATCAAGGTAATGATATAATGAATCTATAGTCAAGTTTCATAGTTCTCACTTAAACATGCATTATGCAAGAGCAAAATCTGTTTATTACAAGTCTTTCTTTAGGCCTGAAATGTTATCTAAATTATCAATTAGACATTAATTAACTTATCCAGACCATAATAAACTCTCGATGTCAAGGTTAAAGATTTCTTAGAAATCTGTTTTTAGAACTGACATTGAACTTGGCCCGCCTCATTACCATATAACGTCCTTGGCCTTAGCCTCGATGTGAATGTCCTCGCCTGACTAGTCGACGCTTGCCTTTTTGCCTAATTCTTAACGCAGTTGTTATTTTCATTTTTTTTTTCGCTGAGATGTCGACAAAAGGAAGACAACGTCAGGTGAATGCAGGTAGGAATATGACGGACATTATCAAGTCATTGGAGGATCATCAGTCAGACAGCGAAGGGGAACTAAGCTTAATAGACAAACACGCGGACGAACAGTCGAGAAAGTCTGGGGTCATGGCGAACAGTAGTAGTGACACAGCGGTGCGGGACCCACCGACATCTGTAGTATCTCAGATAGAAACTAGTGATAGTGTTTCGTTACCAGGTGAGGAACACATCAATTCAGTGAGACGAGTGGATACTCGCGAAACTCTAGAGGCAGAACTGAATGCATTGTATCAACAGAGCCACATACTAATTCTAAAACGAAAGATTGAAGCAGAGAAAAAGAAAATTGCACAACTGGAGACACCGCTTAATGAATCCGAATTATTAGAGCCAAAGGCTGCCGAACCTGCTAACCGAGCGAGTACGTTGATCAAGACAACAGGTGAGCTCTCCCGTTTACTAGCATTTGACAATTCGGACATCGTACAAGCCGTCTCGACCCGCTCCAGCAATAAGTTGTCTGCAAAACCAAAAGCCCTTCAGATCCTTGATTACATATGGGTCGATCCAGTTCCCCAGTACAGCACATATACCTTTGGTTCAGAGCTAGAATTCCGGGTCGCCAAACGAAAAACATTGGATAAAGTGTCAATGGAGGAATGGGGGTATGCTAATACCTCCATTCTACTGGACCTGATGAAAACTGAGAACATTGGACAGGAAGATTTCGTCTCTTACCTAAAATATACAGCAGACATACATCGTTTGTCATCAAAATATCATTGGTATTCAGTCTTACTTTACGATAAAGAGTACCGTGAAAAACAAGCAGCTGAAGGTTTTAATTGGGGGACACATCGCCAGGATCTCAGAGAATTCCAACTAGTCCCAAAACGGGACCACTCAACAGCTAGAGCTTACCAAGAAGCAAACATTACAACCAGCCCATATACCAAAACCAGACTCTATCCTTACCGATCACCTGTGCCTCAGAATTCGCATTTTAATCAGCCATCCTCGCGTAATAGAGGTCCATTCTTGCCGGATGGTCGGGAGATTTGTCGAAATTTTAATCACAATTTGTGTAATAGAATTGAATGTAGGATGGTCCATTGTTGTGCCATTTGCTGGTCACCCGCACATTCGGCTTTATCAGGTCATCAGAGTGGCAACACAGTGTCAAAAAACCCGATTGGCCCCAGACCCCTACCATCCCAGACATAGGTTGTGCCGAGTCGTCTCCCCTATCGCCAAGCGTCCGAGAAATTAATTGCTTAGATTACTCAGTGTGGCAAGTTTTACTACCGGATGACTATTGCGATAAAATATTACTCTTGAACGGCATAGCCAATGGTTTTGTTTTATCTGATATGTATGGCCCCCATTTGCCTGTGGAGAGAGACAATTATTCATCCGCTTATCAATTACGAGATAAAGTTGAGGCACAAATAAAAACTGAAATTGCTCTTGGTAACTATATTTTAACAAGTACTAAGCCTACTATTGTTAGTTCAATGGGGGCAATTTTAAAACCAGATGGGGGAGTTCGACTCATTCATGACGCTAGTCAACCCGAGGGCACCTCTTTAAACAGTTATGCTAGTGACAGTCCCTGCAGCTATATGGATCTGCGTAACGCGATAAAGTTGATCAAACCTTCCTGCTGGCTTGCAAAAGTCGACCTAAAATGTGCGTATAGAACAGTAAAGTGTCACGCGTCGGATCAAACACTTACCGGATTGAAGTGGACCTTTAAAGGAGACGACATGCCTACTTATATGTTCGATCGTAAGCTCCCCTTTGGACATAAACGGAGTCCAATGATATTCCAGTGTATAAGTTCTGCCGTGTGTTACATCATGAAACAGCATTTTAATGTGACTTGTATTGTGTATTTGGATGATTTCCTCATCATTGAGGACGACTTTGATACTTGCAATAACAGTTTACTTTTATTACTAAGTACTTTACTCCAGCTAGGCTTTAATATCAGTTGGTCAAAGGTGGAAGGTCCTGCCCAACGTCTTGTTTTTCTTGGAATTGAAATTGACACTTGCGCTTTGAGCTTAACTCTGCCTGAAACTAAAATAACTGAATTTATCGATTCTCTGTTAAAATTTCAAGGTCGCAAAAGGGCAAGTGTCAAGCAAATCCAATCATTATGTGGAAAACTAAACTGAGCGTGTCAAGTTGTTAAAGGTGGACGAATTTTCCTTCGCCGCATGATAGACATAATTACTCCAATAAAGTGCCGCACAGCAAAAGTCATTCTCTCGGATGAGTTTTTCAAAGACATACTATGGTGGCTCAATTTCATGAAACTATTTAATGGCACCGTTAAATTCCTAGAAAAGGTACCAGTTCGATCACTTCAAACCGATGCCTCTTCAAAGGGCGGCGGTGCTTTTTACTCCGGAGATTTCTTCTATGTGAATTGGCAATTAGATATGCCTTTATTTCAGAATGAACACATCAACATAAAGGAAACTCTGTCCGTTGTATTGTCGGCAAAACGGTGGGGTCACTTGTGGTCTAATAAGAAAGTGGTCGTGAAAACTGATAATCTGACAACAAAGTGTGTCTTAAACAAAGGTTCATCGAGGAACCCTGTGATTATGCTTTGCCTACGTGTCCTATTTTGGATTTCAGCCTGTTACAACTTTGATATAGTAGCCCAGTTTGTACCAGGTTGTCTTAACGAAGTAGCAGACGCTGCTTCAAGGCTTCACGAACCTGGCCAGCTGACGCGTCTTTATGACAAGCTTGGATCCTATGAATGTTATGGGTTTAGCTCAGCCGAGTTACGAACTCATGTGTCCCCTGCCTTTTATAATTCTAGGTGGAGTACCAGACAACGTCCTATCAGGCCTCCAACAAAGTGTATTGAGATTAAAAAGACAGGGATTGGCTAACACTACGAAAGGCACATACCGGACACATTTGAAAACGTTTCTAACATTTTGTGTAACTTATAATGTGAACCCGGTCCCCATCTCACCAGATAATGTTGAACTCTACATAGCCTATCTGGTTGACTTCAAGTGTTTTGCTTATAGCTCATATTATTTCGCTCTTTCATAAATCCTAAGGACTAACGGATCCGATATCTCAGACCTGGTCAATCAAACACATGTTGACGGGGGTCAAACGTGAACTTGGCACCGCTCAATCCTGCAAGTCCCCGGTAACACCAAAAATTCTACTTAGTATTCGTTCGTCCTTGGATTTATCTGTACATAACAATCAGTGTTTTTGGGCTGCTTGCCTCTTGGGTTTCTTTGGCTTTTTGCGGCCTAATAACTTTTTAGTTAAGGGATTGTTTGATCCAGATACACACATCAGACGCATGGACGTAATTGTCCATTCCATGGGGTACCCTCATATCTCTTAGAGTTTTAAAAACGTTACAGTTTCGGTCAAAACCAATTATTATTATCTTACCCAACTTACCAAACCATCCTTTATGTCCCACGTCTGCACTTATCCAAGTCTTGTCAGTGCCTGGCGCCCCAACTTCACCCTTGTTTACACTACATGATGGTCGTTGCCTTACTTATGTAATTTTTCTTCGAGCATTCCGTCTAGCTTTGCGTGCTATGGGTATGGATTCCTCGCTTTTTGGGGGCCACTCTTTTCGTCGCGGAGCAGCGTCCTGGGGCTTTTCGGTTCGATGGGCCTCAGAGATACTGACATACAACGTCTAGGTTTTTGGTCTAGTGATTGCTACAAGCGCTATGTCGACTCCGATTTCTCTCAGCGCTTGCAGGCAACTCTCTTATTTGCTAATTCGCTGCCTAAATAAGCTACTTGTCACACCAAACTTTCACCTACACACACTACACCCCGAATCCTCTTCTCTTTTGGGTTTGGGAGTTCATATGTATGTATATATGTTACAATATTAATGAACAATGTATTACGTTGTATTACTTTGTATGTTTTTAAAGTTATGCTTGCTTCGTTCTGTAATAAAATTCTGCCAATGTCAAAATATGTATTCTTCAGTAGCATGCACTTTGAGAAAGGTCATAGGGGTAAATTAAAGATTTCTTAGAAATCTGTTTTTAGAACTGACATTGAACTTGGCCTGCTTCATTACCAACTAACGTCCTTGGTCTTAGTCTCAATGTGAATGTCCTCGCCTGACTAGTCGACGCTTGCCTTTTTGCCTAATTCTTAACGCAGTTGTTATTTTCATTTCCCAACCTCCCTCCCAGTAGCATTACTAAGGGCTGTGTGTTTTCATAATTATAAACTTTGCTTGTAATATTGATATGTCATCGCGAGTTCATATGTATGTATATATGTTACAATATTAATGAACAATGTATTACGTTGTATTACTTTGTATGTTTTTAAAGTTATGCTTGCTTCGTTCTGTAATAAAATTCTGCCAATGTCAAAATATGTATTCTTCAGTAGCATGCACTTTGAGAAAGGTCATAGGGGTAAAACTAGCCTTCGATGTTGGCTGGATTAGATTCCTATATGCCGCTAACGGTCATTGATAATTAAATCAGAAAAAGTGGATAATCAAGGCTATGCTGTTTATATTAATGATTTTAGTAATGATGACCGAGACTATGCAAAAATTTCACCCGCTTCTTGTAACAGCCAGATGACTATTTGACTGTGTACAAGGGTTTTAAGTCTAAATGCAAACACACCCACGACAAACAACTTGACTTATTGGGAATTGTCACAAATACAATACCAGTACCAAATACGTCTTGACCATTACTAATGATTACTATAAAACACATTTATTAGTTCTTGGACATTAAAGATATCAGTATAAAGTATTTGATGAGAATAACATACATAGCCTTTAATAATTCTTGGGTTGTCTGATTTCTGAAAATATAAATAAACTTTATGTTTACCACTTATATTTATAATATAAATATGTGAGTTGCCATGACAAACATGACATGCAGAATATACAAACACATTGCGGTCTTGACTTATTCAGCTTTACAAAATAGATCTTGGTGCATACAGATAACATGAAAGAAGACACAAAGAACATAAATATATATGCTTACAGATACGTTTGGCCCTTATACTATCAAAAACAAACTTTAATATCAATCTGCCATTATACTTTTTTTTATACTAAAGAAAGATAACTCTAAGTGATGTACTGCATGTCAAGAAATTAACCAAATATTAAAGGGGCATAACTCTTCTATGCTTATTTTATATTACCGGTATTAAACAAATCACATTTAGAATCAACACTTCTTTCTCGGCTCATAGTGGATCAATTTGACTGAAATTTCCAGCAAATTACCTTTACACTATCTAGTTTTTAACTATTATAGCGAGAACTGCCATCTCTTTATCTTATCTCCCATAATGTATCTTTAATTATAACCAAAGTTGTCGTTCCCAAAAGCATCAACCAATCAAATTGCTTATCTCTGCTTACCGTAAATGGACAATGTTCATCATCGAACTCCATCACCGCATTCACCTAATCAACGCCTACACCAAGTTTGAACATTCTACCTCAATTAGAAGGAGAGTTATTGTGTTTCAAAGTCTCGACCAAGCATAAAATGTTCATTATCGAACATAGTCAAGGTATTGATGTGATGAAACTATACACCAAGTTATTGAGTTATTGTGTGCCAAAGCATCAACCAATCAAATTGCTTATCTATGAATACCAAGGCATCGGCCTAATAAACACCTACACCAAGTTTAAACATTCTAGCGAAATAGAAGTAGCTAGAGTTATTGTGTCCCAAAAAGTATGATGGACAGATGAACCCATTTTAATAGTTCCTTGCTTTCTTCGAAAGGCAGGGGACAATAAAAATTGTGACCTCAAGTGGATCCACAAGCTAAAAAAAAACGATTTTCCTACAATCAGGGGCCATAATCCAGGATGTTACCGTAAATATCGTGCATCAGTGTTATAATTTAAAGGCGTTCAAATATAATATATCACCGTTATACCATAATTACGGTTGAGTTCACATTTCCTGAAAATCTGAGCTGCCCGACAAAATGATCGACTCCCTTAAACGTATGTAATACCAGGTTAGATCTAAATATTAAGGCCACCTACAGATTTCCCCAAGATCACAAGATGTCAACAGGGATATGGACTCATAGCTAGAGTAGATCTCTATGTTAATTGACTGGGTCATTATTATCTATTTTTCAGATTCATAACTTAAAAAAATGGAACTAGTCAGGGTCCAACCTTTATTTTTATATGGTTTTACAACTTATATAATTAAGTGTTGAACTTTTAAATTCGAAATAAAAAAACGGCAACAATCGACTCATGACCTATTTTATATATTGTATATGTAGACAGCCGCCATTTTGAATGACATTAACAACACACATTGATTTAAGCAATATTTTATTTAGATAGTTTCATATTAAGAACTAAATTTTCAAAAATTTAAGGATTCATGAACAAGGCCAAAGGTTAATATAATTGATCTCCATATTGTTAATGGTAATACAATTCCAAGAATGTACACTTGTACAAACATACATTAAGGCCTTATATAAATAATGATCATGCATTTTATATTTACTGGTGAAAGGATCATTAATTTTATATTTACTGATGCAAGGTACTATATTTAATAAATTTAATTATAAAAACACTTCATGCATAGTCGGCCTAGGTGTGGACTACTCCGAACATTTGGACAGTGATAACCTTTTAGTAGAGAACAACTTTGCTTTATGAAACAGTTTCCGACAATCAATCATTATTTGTTTTGTCAAATTTTTGGGTATCAAAATTGAGAGAGAGAGAAGTGGGGTTTAACGTTCACTTGACACGATGATACAACAAAAAACACAATTACTATTTTAATTAAAGCGACCTTTCGTTGAGGGTTCTCTCAACATTTTCAAGTAAATGATGCTCAATAGTCAATGGGTGCACTCGTCCGCTTGCCAGCCTATCTTTTATAGTCCCATTGGTGCAGAAAAGTAGGAAAATTAAATAAAATTAAATGAGATTAAACATCCTACTGTTTTGCTCTGAGTGAGCTAATGAAGACAGGCATACACTATATACAGTGTACTATGACGGAAACTTTGCACGGATAGCGGCACTATGGCCTACTCTGATATTGAATTACAACTGTCGGAGTGTCTTTTACGTGCATGCCAATATGTACACGAGGACTTGATTTTTCGTATGACCCGAACACCTATACCTTATCCCTTGCCAGATCCTCCGCCCTGCCACAGACCATAGAAAATTTCCGTCATAGCACTCTGCATTGCGTATGACTATCTTCAATAGTCCGATTGGTTCAGAAAAGTATAAAAATGAATTTTAAATGGGGTTTGAACATCCTACTATTTTGTTACAAGTGGGCTAATGAAGAAGGGCATATGCTATAATGGTTAAAATGTTGTGATTTCGGGTTAAAATTCCGTGATGTTGGGTTATCGCCTTACGAAGGGTGATATCAGTCACCATATCTACTGGGTTTCTTTAATACTCATATTTATAGTATTTTATAGAGTCAGACTAGTGGACTAGTGAATGCACGGATTAGTGCACCCACAGACTAGTGAACCCGCAGACTAGTAATTGGTAATGATGGAAAAGTGTGTAAAGACCTGTTTTACAGGTTGGCGTGCACTTAGAACTATTGGTAATGACTATATGCGGAAATGCTGCTCTCCAGGCAAAATGTCTTTCCTAGCACTTCTTCATTAGTAAGTGCGGTAATGCTGCTGTCCAGGCAAAATTTCTGTCATAGCACATCTTCATTACTAATTTTGATAAAGCCATGGTGGCCAAGTGCGTAAGATGCTGGCTCGGTAATCCGGAGGGCACGTGTTCGATCCCTGCATTGGTGGAGAAAGTTCATCAGGATTTTCCGACATGGTTTCCCCTTGTCAGAGGTGCAGGAACAAGGACAGTAGTCTAGTCACTCAGATGGGACAAAAAACCGAGGTACCATGTATACATTGGCTTGCACGAAAAGATCCCTTGGCAGTTGGATTCGATATTAGTAGGCAAAATTTCCCTCATAGCACATTGTATGGTATGTACCTGTCTTCATTAGCCCAGTCGGAGCAGAACAGTAGGACAATAAACCGATTTCATCAGGACAAACCTACATGAGGAAAAAACTTAATTTCACAAACTTAGTAATTAGTAACGGGGGGTTGGATGGCTGAATGGTTAGCGTGCGGGCGCTGTATCATAAAGTCTGTCATTGAGTTGACTGGCGTGGTTTCGAATCCCCGGTTGTACGTGACAAGGAGTAGGGTCGCCTGTCCAACCTCCGGTTTTCTCCCACTGCTAAAGACCCCTACGCGCAAGCGAATTATGTAAATAAAAATTAAACCATATGTTAGTCCCGAAATGACCTAGTTTGTGTCGAGTAGATGTTAAACCCCATTTCTCTCTCTCTCTCTCTCTAGTAATTAGTAACACACTGGCTAGCAAATGAGGGGTTCAATTTCCGTGTTGGTCGAGAAAAATGAAATGAAATCGGGTTTAACGTCCTACTGTTCTGCTCCTAAACTGAGCTAATGAAGACGAGCATACGCCATACAGTATGCTATGAAGGAAATTTTGCCCAGGCAGCGGCGCTATGGCCTACTCTTATATCAAGTTCCAACTACCAAGGGATCTTTCATGTGCACTCCTGTGTGTACACGTGACCTCAGTTTTTCATCCCTGACTAGACAGCTGTTCTTGTCAGGCCTCCGTCCTGTATCACTGACAAGGGGAAAACACGCAGAAAAATCTGGATGAACTTTCTCAGCCAATGCAGGGATCGAACACCCGACCTCCAGGCTAGCGAGTCAGCGTCTTACCCACTTAGCCAACGTGATCCCCATGTTGGTTGAGAAAGTTCCCTTTGTTAGTAGTGGTGTAGGACAGAGGACCTCAAAAAAACAGTGTCTAGTCCATCACGTGGGTGTGCACGTAAAAGAACCCTTGACATTTGGAATTTGAATTGAGAGTAGATCATTCATTCATTCGTTTTCTCTTTGTGTGTCACCTACAGACCGCAACTATTAAAGGAGCTAGATCTCTATTCTTGGGCACTTAGAAATGGATACAAAATGTAATGAAATGAAATGGGGTTTAACGTCCAACTGTTCTGCTCCGAACTGGGCTAATGAAGATGGCCATACACCATACAGTGTGTTATGAGGGAAATTTTGCCCCGACAGTGGCACTACGGCCTACTCTTATATCGAATTCCAACTGTCAAGGGATCTTTTACATGCATGCCAATGTGTACACAGGACCTCGTTTTTTTTTATCCCATCTGAACAACTAGACAGCTGTCCTTGTCAGGCTCTCCGTCCTGCATCACTGACAAGGGGAAACCACGCCGGAAATCTGGATGAACTTTCTCGGCCAATGCAGGGATCGAACACCCGACCTCCAGGCTAGCGAGCCAGGGTCTTACCCATTTTAATGACTAGACAGCTGTCTTGTCAGGCCCTTAATTGTTAGTATCATGACATTAAACTGACATTTGTTTTACGTTTTACAACTAATATCAGGTTTATGTTA